ACACAAATTACAGAGTGGTTCCACTGGACCTGCAGAAGCAGGTGTGACTTGATTCTGAACTTTAGCACATCCTTCACTTCATACAAGCTAGTATTTTTCTTTCTTTCTTTCTTTTTTTTTTAGTGTTTTTCTTAAATGATACTTTTAAAACAAATTACCCACCACATTTATCACATTATAGAACAGTTTTGTGGACAGATGAGCTCTTTGAGGTTTTCTGGTCCAGTGTTCCCTCCAGTCATGATCATTTGTATACTGTTTTCCCTGCAACATTGTATTCTTAATCAGTCAGTTCAGTTCAGTTCAGTCAGCTCAGTCGTGTCCAACTCTTTACGACCCTATGAATCACAGCACGCCAGGCCTCCCTGTCCATCACCAACTCCCGGAGTTTACTCAAACTCATGTCCATCGAGTCGGTGATGCCATCCAGCCATCTCATCCTCTGTCATCCCCTTCTCCTCCTGCCCCCTATCCCTCCCAGCATCAGGGTCTGTTCCAAAGAGTCAACTCTCCGCATGAGGTGGCCAAAGTATTGGAGTTTCAGCTTCAGCATCAGTCCTTCCAATGAATACCCAGGACTGATCTCCTTTAGGATGGACTGGTTGGATCTCCTTGCAGTCCAAGGGACTCTCAAGAATCTTCTCCAACACCACAGTTTAAAAGCATCAATTCTTTGGCGCTCAGCTTTCTTCACAGTCCAACTCTCACATCCATACATGACTACTGGAAAAACCATAGCCTTGACTAGACGGACCTTTGTTGGCAAAGTGATGTCTCTGCTTTATAATATGCTGTCTAGGTTGGTCATAACTTTCCTTCCAAGGAGTAAGCGTCTTTTAATTTCATGGCTGCAATCACCATCTGCAGTGATTTTGGAGCCCCAAAAAATAGTCTGACACTGTTTCCACTGTTTCCCCATCTATTTCCCATGAAGTGATGGGACCAGATGCCATGATCTTCGTTTTCTGTATGTTGAGCTTTAAGCCAACTTTTTCACTCTCCTCTTTCACTTTCTTCAAGAGGCTTTTTAGTTCCTCTTTACTTTCTGCCATAAGGGTGGTGTCATCTGCATATCTGAGGTTATTATTTCCAGCTTGTGCTTCTTCCAGCCCAGCGTTTCTCATGATGTACTCTAGTTTTCTCCCTTTTATTCAACCTTTTATTATGAACAAGTTCAGTGATACTCTCAGATATCCAACTCCAAAGGCAGTCAGCTCTTGGTTATTCTTTTTCTGGTAAAGTTTTCTTTTTTTATGATTTTTAAATTAAAAAAAAATTTAAATCTTTATTGAATCTTTGTTACAATATTGTGTCTGTTGTATGTTTTGGTTTTTTGGTTTTGAGGCATGTGGGATCTTAACTCGCTGACCAGGGGTCAAACCCCAGCCCCTTATATTGGAAGGTGAAGTCTTAACCAATAGACTGCAGGAAAGTCTCTGTTGGTCACTTTTGTTTCAGTTTTACTCTCATTGACCTTCTCTTTCATGGATTAATTTGAAGTAAATCCTAGACATACTATCATTTTATCTGTGAACAACTTAATACCTCTAAAAATTAAAATTATTCATTTCTTTTAAATTGTAATGTTATTTTAAAATTAGAAATATTTGGACATGAGTTTGAGCAAGTTCCTGGAGTTGGTGATGGACAGCGAGGCCTGGCGTGCTGCAGTCCATGGGGTCACAGAGTCGGACAGGACTGAGCAACTGAGCTGAACTGATACATGTTTGTGACATGAAACAATACAAATACACACCATTTCAAAGTTATTTTGTCATGGTTAGTCAAATAGTTATTCCTCCTACTGTTGTTTCATTGATGCAACATTATAAATGGTTGAATGCTTTTTTCCATACTGCTCTTCATTTGTGTAACATCCTATATATATAATAATAGTTTTTGTATTTTACAAAACCTATATTGTATGTATTACTCAAATTTGCCTGTTGTTGTTCAGTCGCTAAGTCGTGTCCTACTCTTTGTGACCCCATGGCACACCAGGCTTCCCTGTCCTTTATCTCCTGGAGTTTGCTCAAACTCATCTCCATTGAGTCAGTGATGCCATCCAGCCATCTCATTCTCTGTTGCCCCCTTCTCCTCCTGCCCTCAATCTTTCTCAGCATCAGGGTCTTTTCCAATGAGTCGGCTCTTTGCATCAGGTAGCCAAAGTATTGGAGCTTCAGCATCTTTCCCACTGATGAATATTCAGGGTTTATTTCCTTTAGGATTGACTGCTTGGATCTCCTTGCAGTCCAAGGGACTCTCAAGAGTCTTCTCTAGCACCACAGTTTGAAAGCATTAATTCTTCAGGCTCAGCTTTCTTTATGGTCCAACTCTCACATCCATACATGACTGCTGGAAAAACCATAGCTTTGACTATGTGGACCTTTGTTGGCAAAGTGATGTCTCTGATTTTTAATATACTGTCTAGGTATGCCTCCCTGCTCCCAAAGTTATATTTATTAAGGTAAAATATACATAAAACATATGTATATGTATATATGTGTATATATGTATATATATGTATATATGGTTTGGTGAGTTTTGACATATACAGTCATATAATATACCCTTACAATCAAGATTTTCTTCACCCCAGTGAGTTCTCTCATACTCTTTTTATAGTCAATCGCTTCCCAATTCCTAAACACCATTTCTTTCTTCTATGGTGCTATAGTTTTGCCTCTCTGTTGGATTGGCCAAGAAGTTCATTTGTGTTGTCAACCCAGTTCAGTCCCTAGTTGGGGCACTAAAATCTTGCAAGCTGTGTGGTGCAGCCAAAAAAAAAAAGAAAAGTCAAGGTCACAAAAGACAAGGGAAAAATGAGGAACCAGCTGGACTAAAGAAATATGACTACGAAATGAAACTTGTTATCCCGGATTCGATCCTGGACCAGAACAAGGAAAAAAAAACAACAACAAACACTGTTTCCAATGAAGAATTGGTACAGGACTTCCCTGGTGGTCCAGTGGTTAAGAATCCCCCCACCAATGCAGGGGACAGGGGTTCAATCCCTGGTCTGGGAAGATCGCACATGCCGAGGAGCAACTAAGCCTGTACACCACAACTACTGAGCCCATGAGCCCTAGAGCCCGTCCTCTGAACCTAGAGAAGCCACTGCAGTGAGAAGCCCACATATCGCAACAAAGAGTTGCAATAGGAATCGTTGTGATTTTCTTTAGGATTGACTGGTTTAATCTCCTTGCTGTCCAAGGGACTCTCAAGAGTCTTCTCCAGCACTGCCCTTCACTATCTCCTGGAGTTTGCTCAAATTCATGGCCATTGAGTCAGTAATGCCATCCAACCTGCCACAACTAGAGAAAGCCCACACGGCAACGATGACCCAGCGCAGCCAAAAAATAAATAGAGTCAGTACAATAAGTACCCTAAATTTCGGTTCCATGGGAATTCAGGCACAAGACTTCATCCTCCAAGAAACGGGGAGAATCTCTTCATACTTGTTCTTTGCAGTGTTGAATGATTTTCCAAGTGTTAATTGATTGCTTGTATTTTCTCTGCTATGAATTATTACCTGCCATGTCACTTATGTATTTGTTTCTGCCTTGTAGTCATTTCTCAGTCTTGTTAATTTTTTTCTTTTGTTTCAGTTTTTATAACAATAAAACAGCCTTCCTTGTTTAAAAAATAAATACAAACCACATAAAAGGACGCAGAGAGAATGAGAGCCCCTCTCATCTCCATATCCCACTCTCCAGATGTTCTTCTCCCTCTCATTTCATTTTTTAAAGTTTGCCTCCCACTCTTTTCCCTTCCTTTTATTCTTTAAAAATTTCTAAATATTTCCGTGAAATGAACTACTCATGCAGCAGAAGGATTTCTCTTAATGGACTAGGAAAGGAACATCTACAGTGGGAAAAGAAACCTGTATGTTAACCTCTGTAGATTTCTTGATAGACTTATGTTCAAAACATACATGTTTATATTTAAGAATTTTTAAAGTATAAAGACCTTTATAGCAAAGCACATACATAACTGACATGTAATCAGAAATAAGACCACAACTACTTACTGTGAGTAGCAGCTTAAATTCTAGGATCCATAAATTGTTAAATAAATGGAAACCATTACAGAGTTCTTTGCTGTTATCCTTTGATTAATAAACAAAAAAAATTGGACTTCCCTGGTGACCCAGTGGTAAAGAATCTGCCCTGCAATGCAGGGGACCTGGGTTTAATCCCTGATCTGGGAAGATTCCACATGCTGCGGGGCAACTAAGCCCATGGCCACAAGACCCAATACAGCCAAAAAATAAATAATTTTTTTAACTGTAAGAGTTTTTCTACCTTTTTGTGTTTAGTGTGACTGTATCTGGCTAAACTCTGTGTGGTGTAGTTTGGGAGTAGAGGTGTGTCTTCTCTTACAAGGTTGACTAGCTGAGTCTTTTGTTTTTTCATCCTCCATAGAAGAACAGAATGTTAGAACTAATGGGCCACTGGAAATTCTTTTGTGACTTTATTTTATAGGTGAGAAAGAAATGCGTGGAATATAATAGGCCTAAGATGAGGCCCTTGTAGAATAAATTACCAGTTCCTAACCCTACTCCAGTTAGTGACATTTGCCTTCTATTATTTCAGGAAAGGAAGCCGAATGCTAATAGGGAAGCCTTCCCTCATGCATCTAACAAGTGAAGGAAACATGTATTGAATGTTTAAGGTCTGGCGCGCACACAGTGTTGTTTAATACTTTAACTCTCAGGTCTCCGCAGGAAGAGGAGTCATTCAGGCCATAAGTGATTTGTAAATTAGTAACTGTGGGACTTCCCCGGTGGGCCAGTGGTTGAGACTCCACCCTTCACATGCAAGGGGGACGGGTTCAATCCATATGGTGATGTACCCTTGGTCTTTTCTCACTGCCTCTTGGGAAAGCCAGTTGCTTTAGCTTCACTGGAGCGTGGGAATGTGACCTGCAGGATGAGAAATCCGCCTGTCTGAGGGCTTGTTATGAACTGAACTTTTTTTTGTGTGTGTGTTTTTTTCCAGCTGGAAGAAGAGAGATCTGTACTCAATAATCAGTTGTTAGAAATGAAAAAGAGGTAGGCTTTTCTTTTTGTGTATATTGTTTTGTGTGTGTGTGTGTGTGTGCGTGTTTAATAAGGAAAATGTCGGAACATGCTCTGTGTGAAGTGACTTCTAGAAAACATACGACCTTCTTATACTCAGAAAATTGCATCGTGATAGTTTGGTACTCATAATTGACAAATTTGCAAAGTTTCAGTATGAATTACTAACAGAAGATTTTTTATTTTTTAAGTCATGTTCAGTTGCATTTATTCAGAAGTATCCTAAAGTCAGATTGTCTCATAGCACATACTGCTGTACCTCCTAGTTTCAGTAACTAAAAATACTGCCATTTTACCTAGAGTAGTTGATCTGCATATAAATACTGATTTCAGTTATATAAAAAGTTTAATTTTTTCACAGTAACAGGAAGCACCATTTGAAACATTTCTATTTTTTTTTTTTTTCTGAAAAAGAGGTTTGTTATTTGTTAATTCTTTGATGATAATCAAATGCTATGCAAATGGAAGTTTCCAGGACTTTTTGAGTAAAGATAAATGGGCCCCCAGGAATAATCATATAGAAGCCTGATGCTTATGCTTTCTGATGGTCTCTGTCTGCTCTTTTAAAATGTGCAGTTTGTGTCTAGGGAAACTCTCTGCTTTACTCTGCATGCCAAGCAGGTTTAGCGTGCACTGTTGCTAAGACCCACAGGCTGTACAGCAGTTTGCTATAGAGTACATCACAACAGTGATGTGCTTTTTTCTGTCTTATTAAATGCGAAAAGAAGAATAAACCTTTAGAAATAGTACAATCAAGAATTCCTGGGGAATTCCCTCACAGTCCAGTGATTAAGACTCCTGGCTTCCCCGACAGGGGCACGAGTTTGAATTCCACATGGTGCTTCTGCAGCACGGCCAAAAGTAAATAAGTTTTTTGAGAAGAATTTCTGTATACCTCAATTTAAAAAACATAAGAAAATAGGGAAGAAAAATTCCTTCACAGTCTTGCAGAGCACCCTATTCTCGACTGTCAGGGCAGAGGGAGTTTCCCTTGTTGACCACTGACACAGGTGTTTACGCGGACAATGTTCCTCCCGAGAGCATGGCAGTTGCTGCAGAATCTAGGGCCTTGTTTAGCCCACAAAGATATTTGGGTTCCATAAGCTACATTCTAAAGGAAATTAGGCCTCAGTCCAGGGGTGCCTTCCTCTTTTCTTTTTTTAAGACCTCCTTAAACTCTTTCTTCTTTAAAGTTTCACATCAGACTGCATATGTGTTTCACAACCACCACACCCCTGGTCCAGCCAGGTGTTCACCAAGTGGCCCTCGTGAGCTGTAGTGACTGGCCTGCTATGACTTACCCTGGGCCTGGGTACAAGCACAGTTCCGCCCGTGGGGGCCTTGGGATATTTAATTTTAAGAACCCGATATATGCAGTTATCAAGGGTATGTGAAAACGTAATAGCACTTACTCTTGAGGCATTCTGGTAAGGGAATGTATAAACATCAGCAGATGTGAATACTGATGTAATTAGTCCCTTTGCATTTATGTAGCACTTGTAATTCATAGATTTCTCATATCTCTAAATAAACCATTGAAGTGTATTTTGGGGCTTGCATTTAAAAATAATGAAACCCAAACTTGGGCAACTTGGTTAAAAACTTAGATGCAGGCACAAGACCCAGGACTTCCAATCTTCTTACATGGGGTCTTTTCTCATTGTACATTTAATGTTTGTTTATTTTTACTTTTTAATATTTTTTAAAAAGAAAGATGAGAGGCTTTGTTAGTCCTTTCCTTGTGACTTTGACTAAATTACATGCCTCTCCAAGTGTGATTAGACATGTGACTTTTTTCCCAGGCTTTAAAAGATAGAACAAATTTGGATACTTGTCTGCCCTCTCTCCTTATTTCATTCTGCTCCCCTCTTAGGTCCTGGGTATGCTTAAGAGACTCTTAAATTACTGAAAATTATTCTTTCAATTGAAAAATGCAGATAAAGATAATTTTTTCTGGGAGTGAACACATTTTAAACATAGTTTCTGATATTTAGAACTTTGGTGGGGGAGGGGTTCAAATTGTTAATTAACCCTTATGGAAAATTTGGTCTCTTTGAGAAGTCTGGATGCAAATATGCTTTAGCTAATTTGGGGGGACCATGAATGCATTCTGAAAGTCAGTTTTGTAAAGGATTTGTATGTAGATCTAGGTATGTAACAGTTAAGTACATGTAGCATAGAGTACTAAAAAGAATTGGATACTTCCTTATAAGTCTGGAGTGACTTCTCTGGCAGTCCTATGGTTAGGTCTTTGTCTTCCAATGCAGAGGGTGGGGGTTCTGTCTCTCCATCTTGGAGAGCTAAGATCCCACTCATATGCCTTGTGGTCAAAAAACCAAAACATTAAAAAAAGCAATATTATAGAAAGATCAATAAAGACTTTAAATATGGTCCACATTAAAAAAAAAAAACCTTAAAAAAAATCTGGAAAGTACTTAAAAATCACAAAAGATATTTGAAATGTGGTTGTTCAAGCAAGAACTGAGATCTTAGTCAACATACATAGCTAAGAAAGAATATAATTGCTTCATTCAGACTATATTGTTCATTATTTTGAAGTGCAGTACTTACTCCTGACATGGGATGAAACTAAATACTTATCATTAAGACATTAGTATCCCCTTCTTCTATTTGTTCTGGGTTTTTTTTTGCTATCTAACATTGAATCGCAGGCAACATGCAGTGAAATTTTTTCTCTTAGCCTGAAAATGTAATCATTTCTTTGGAAAACCAGACTCCGAGTTAGGCAGACCTCCTTCAAAGCAATTTCCAAGGCATCCAGTAGCTGAAGCAGGGCTAACCTCGACTTGCTCTCATTGACAGAAGGAGAGAAACATGTTCCTCTGGCCAGAAAGCCTATGGCAGATTCAGGAACCAGTTTGGCTTCCCTCCCTTTTGTAGGCTTTTTGATGTCAGAGAAGGGAGCCCAGAGCCAAAATCTTAGATGTGGGCTGTAGAGTCAGGATTAATTCTGCAGGCGACCCCCCAAGATTCCCATCAGGAAGGAAGACTGGTGGGCAGTCCCGCCTGCCAGTCCTGAAGAGGTCACGGCCCCTCCAGCTCACTCCGCTCGCTGTGGGTTGCTAAGTGTCTGACTGTCTCGAGCTTGCGCTACTTATCAATGCTCATCTCACCCCCTCTCTTTTCCCTTTCCTACACTTGCTTCCTTTGCTCTGTCTGTGTGTCTTTAATGGTAAGACTAAAGAAAGTCTATCCACGTTATAATAAATAAATTTCATATATTTTTTAGTAAACCAAGTTGTTGTATATATTTTTTGGCTGCCTTTGTCCCTCTGTGTCTTGCTTTTGTTTTGAAAAATATCCTCAGCAGTATACACACACACACACACACACACACACACACACACGCGCGCGCGCGCACGCACATATCTTTTTATATCTCTATATACAGCACAGAACTTCAGTGCAAATTTAGTTCTCCTTGCTGTATTTGCAGTTCTCTTCATGTTCCTAATATTTGGTTCTTGTTATCTTGCATTTTTAAAGCTTGCCCCATAACACTTTAAGGTATTTCCTTCATTACCGGAATTTATTTCTTATGTAAGTAGTAAGGAAAGAATCTGGGTTATACGTTCTCTCGGGGGAAAGATTTCTGGCCCCTGAAGCCCTTCTTTCATGTTATGTTTACCTTCCCTCCTTGATATTTTTAGTAAGGCCAAGTCACTCAAGCCAGAGTGGCTTTAAAGTAACACAGGCCCTCATGTCAATGTGATGTGTGACTCAGGTGTCAGTCATGTTGGCAGAACTGGTTTAGTTTAGACCATCTTCGTTTGCACAGTAGGATTTGAGCTCAGGAATCGCCTAAGATGCTGACATTGAAGACCTGTCACCAAGAGGAGCTGCCAGGGTCTATTTGTCCCTTCAGAATTTGGTATACAAATCACAAGTCAGATCCGTTTCTTAACCACCCACCTTTTGATGACTTTTGTCCAAGAAATATCTGTTTGCTATCTTCTTAGAAGGCATCCTCGCTTAGAGGCCATATGTATGTGGGGATAAGCAAACAAAGACACCTGTGCCTTTTTCTTCTGCTAGCTGATGGCATCCTTATCCTCCCTAACACACAGATTTAGAAGAATCTAAATCTGCTAATTCCCCAATCCTGGTATTTCTCAGTAAAAATATTTAAAATCACATTGTTCAAATTTGAGTTGAATTTACAAGTGAATCTCTTGAAATTGTTTGCTTTGAAATAATTCCTTTATTTTTTTACAGAGAAGCAGAAAGTAAAAATGGCCAAATCATGGAAATACAAGCTCTTACTTTTAGTGGCCTTATTACACTTTGCCTAATGTGCTGTATATAGCAAGGAATTGAAATAGATTTTACAATAGAATGAACTACCAAATATCCTTTAATAGAAACATAAGGAGCAGAAGATATATTGAATCTTCAGATAAAAACAGATATTTACTTTCCAGATAGAAAAAGATGCCTATGCATTCCTTTCACTTAAAGGGAATTTTTTCTTTGGGGGTTTTTTGTTTTACTTAAACACGATCCTCTTTCGTAGTGAGGTGTCATGCAGTTAGTAATTTAACAGCACCAAGTGTTCATATGACACCTGGGTGTTGAATTCAAGACATTATCTCTAAGTCTCAGATTCTTTTCTTACTACTTATTCTGGGGTGTAAGTGTAAGCCACACACTGAGATAAATACAACACTTATATTTTCCATCTTTGTGTAGAACTTCAATTTACCATAAACCATGAGAATTCTATAATTCGTGTGCCGGATATCTTGGGTCTCACTAACCAGACATACATTCTGCCATTTCTAACCTGGGCCTCCGTTTCTGATCCCTCCAGTCGGTTCTAAGACAGACCGAACCACTACACGCTCCATGTTCACCCAGCTCCTCCCAACAGAACCGGGAGCGATTTTTCTCTTTGCACCATGAACTCTCACCGATGGTTATCCATGTGAAGGCAGTGCCTTAGGTTGTAAGACCCAAGGGCTAGCTAGGAAATTTTCCTCCAGTAATGTTTTTCCCCAAATATTTTTGTGATACAAGGTCTTTTTTCCTCTTGTTTCACACTGCATGTAATTAAAAAAAAACCAACTTATTTCAAAATTTGAGGTTTCCAGGAGCCGCAAATCTAGTACAGAGGGTCCTACATTCCCTTCTCTCATCTTCCCTTCACATGCCCATCTTAGCACCCCTGGTCCTTTGATCCAAACTGAGAGAGTAACATTGGTCCAGACCTCTTAGCCAAAGTCTAGACGTTGTTAAGATTTCCCGAGTTTTTCCACTCATGTCCTTTTTCCTCTCCCAGGATCCAATCTAGGAGACCCCATCGCCTTTAATTGTCACATCCCCTTAGTCTCCTCCAATCTGTGACACCTCCTCAGTCTTTCCTTGGCTTTCGTGACACTAGCACTTTTGAATTTCACCACAAAAATGTAAATAAAAGCACACACATTTATAAACACACAGTAGCCTCCTGCCCTCTGAGGTCGTCTCTGTTGTGTCCCTCCTTCCCTGTCTTCCCTTCATCTCTCCCTTTCTCTTCCCACTCCCCTGACTCCAAGAAACATCTTCCTCTCCTGGAAAGCCTGGTGCCCTCCCTGTGCTGATAACCAGATGCTGGGGCGGCCTGAGAACAGGCTCCCTCCAGGTGTCCCCCCAAGCTTCCATTCTGCAGCTGGAAATCCATCTTCACATTTCTGTCCTAGCTTTTTTGGTAATTTACCTTTCATTTCTATGAGCAAGTGAAGGTCCTCTTCAGAGTCTTTATGGACGAAAAGTAATGATCCTTCAGTTTGAATAGTGGTCATAATCTTTACTACTGTTTTGGCCCATAAGATCTCCAAAACACACTCTGGGAACTTGCTCCAAGTTACTGAAATTAGTGAGAACCAATCGATACTTCCAGCATAAAACTGCCCTGCATGATGTCTGTATAATCGCTTTGCATGTGTGTATTTTAATTGTTGTTATTGCCTGGTAATCAAGAAATAACAGAATTCATCTGGGAGGGGGGTTAGATTTTTTTTTTTTTTAATAATTCTTTGCGGGGTGCAACAGTCTTGTTTTTTTAATTCGTCTTCCGAAGTTATTAACTTGTTTCTTTAAATTCAGACGGATACAATGATATGCAGATTCTGGTATATCTCTGCATAGGTAAACTTTTTCTCCCCTCACAGTAAGTAAAACTTCAAGTAAAATTTCACCAGCATAATAGCCTTAACCCCCCTGTAGAACTTCCCTGTGATACTTTCTCCCCTTACATTAAGCTAAAGTTAATTGAGTGTTTTTCTCTGACCCTTGTACTCTGACCACCCTCTTGGTTGATTTCTGGAATTTTTTTGAAGTCTTTGGTCTTTTAGAGAATCCAAGTTAATAAAAGACGCAGATGAAGAAAAAGCTTCCTTGCAGAAATCCATCAGTTTCACTAGTGCCTTACTCACAGAAAAGGATGCGGACCTGTTAAAGCTAAGAAATGAGGTAGGGTACCCGCCTCAGGGAGCCTTCCCGCGGCCTGCCTGCGCCCGGGCCGAGCCTAAGCCAGCCCATGTGTTTCAGGTCACGGTGCTCAGGGGAGAGAACGCGTCCGCCAAGTCCTTGCATTCAGTTGTTGAGTCTCTAGAGACTGATAAGGTGAAGCTTGAGCTCAAGGTAAAGAACTTGGAGCTTCAACTCAAAGAAAACAAGATGCAGCTCAGCAGCTCCTCAGGTAACGTGACCGCCGCCGCCTCCAGGGAGGAGCTCTTCCCGGGGTAGAGCTGCCCTTGGAAGGAGGCACCTGCGCCGCCCCCCCCACCCCCGACGGGGCCCCCGGGCCTGGGCTCTCCCACGCCTTCATCCAGGGAGACCCCACTCAAGGGGGCGTGCCTGCCTCTCTGCACTTCCGGACCTTCCCGCGGCCCTGAGCATTGGCGGAAATCTTATCTGAGACAGTAGGGCACCGCTGCCATGTCGGGAGCGACCGTGGGTTCTGAGTGCCCTGCCGGGAGGAGAACATGACGGACGTGACAGGCCACCCACCCAGCAGAGGGCCAGCCCGAGAGGGCGCCGCCGTGCCTTAGGGGGCCAGATATGGGACCGGAACTGCAGACGTGTGCTCAGAGGCGCCTCTGGGGATTCCACACCAGAATGAGTTTCTCCCGCTGGCCCTTTCGTTGTAAGAACAAGGAAACAAGATGGGATGGCAATTTTTTAAAATATCCCCCCTCCCCGTTTTTTTTCTTAACATAAGGTAATACTGATACTCAGGCAGAAGAGGACGAAAGAGCCCAGGAGAGTCGGGTAATATGCCTTCCTTTTGATTTGCTTTTTTGTTTAATCCTTTAATCTTTTGACTAGGTAATGTATTCATATGGTCTGAACATTGAACAGTATTAAAAATATATACACGGTAAAAAAAACACAAAAAGTGTCCCTGCAAACAGCATCCCTCTCCTACTCAGTTTCCAACCCCCTAAACAGATAATCAGGGTTGTTACTGTCTTTAATTTTTTTCAGAGATTTTTTTTTTAATGTATATACAAACCAAGACTAATAGTCTTTCCTCTCCTTTGTTACACAAATGGCATATAAACTGATCTCTTATTTTTTACAGGTGTATAGTATTCTGTTATATGGAGATATATATACACACACACACACACACCATAATTTAATCAGTCCTTATTAGTTGACATGACTTTTGGGATGTTTCTGATCTTTTAGATGCATTATAAACAATGCTATAGTGTACTGTCTTGCACAGCTATCATATTATAGCTGTACTGATATTTCTTTAGGATTAATTCCTAGAAGTAGAATTACTCTGTTAAAGGTTCCTTCCTCATCTTTACCTTAAAAAGACAGTTCTTGAAAACTGTTTCCTAAAGCCAAAATTATCAAAAGAGCTTTAACTGTAAAAGTGGGATTACATGGAGGTAAGCTATTCTATTTTTGGAAATGGATGGCATCATGGACTTAATGGACATGAGTTTGAGTAAACTCCGGGAGTTGGTGATGGACAGGGAGGCCTGGCGTAGTGCAGTCCATGGGTCGCAAAGAGTTGGACACGACTAAGCGACTGAACCGAACTGATAGCCCAGAAGTAATAAACATGTATTTTCAGTTTTAATTATATATTTTGGACATATTTATCCCATTAAAATTCAAAGGTACAAAAGCCATCTTTCACTTTTAAGTAAGAGAGAAACTCAGTGAGTTGGTGATTTGTTTGTTGTGACATCTCCTTTGAAAGGCATGTAAGAATTCAACCAACAGCCTAACTTTAACCCTGGCTAGCATTGTCTCTGCTGAGTTTATATGTCTAATGAGCACAAAATTAACAATGTTTTCTCTCCCCCTCTTCCTTTCTGCTTCCATTTGTTTCACCTGCCACTGCCAACACTTTTCTTCCCATCAGCAAATGGTTTATGTTTTCCTAATTTGTGAGCATGTATGTGAGTGTGTGTATATGTGTGGCTTCCCACTGTACTTCCATTTTATGGCTTTTTTTTCCCCCTTCCTGATACGATACGTAGCTCCCAACAGGATACAGTCTTACAAAATACAGTTTGAGAAGTGAGATAAGAGTCAGTGGGTCTGCCTTCAATGTCAGAAGGGATATTCTGCAGAGAATAACAAAGCCAGTGATTTCTAGCTTTGTTTTGTAATTGCCCCAGTGGGAGAAAAAGGCCAAATATTTCTTTGAAAAATAACTACTGGATGGGCCAAAAGGTTTGTTCAGATTTTTCATCTTACAGAAAAACCCCAAATGAACTTTATGGCCAACCCAATATGTATGTATGAGTGTACACACACACACATACACATAATATTTTTTTAAATTGTAAAGTAGGATTTTTTTTCCTGATGGGCATTTAGAGAAATGAGACGTTTTCATTATTTGTAGAAGAGAGGAGAAACCATTTTTAAGTTAAAGTGCCCTTGCTTTGAAACGTCGGACAAGAGCATTTCCTCCTGGTGGTCATCTCCTTACCCCACTGCCCCGAGTCTGGGCCCCGGTCCCCTGAACGCTGCCCTCTCAGTGTGTGCCTGCATCAGCTGAAGGGGAGCTTAAGTCTTCTCTTTAAAATCCTTATTTTGGGACTTCCCTGGTAGTCCAGTGGCTAAGACTCCTCTCTTCCATTGCAGGGGGCAAGAGTTCAATCCCTGGTCAGGGAACTAAGATCCCACATGCCATGGTGTGTGGCCAAAAACAGAAAAACCCCAAAACAGCTCCTTCCTTTTTCTCTTAAGACCCACTTACCATTCCACCATAACTAATAAGTGAATGTTAAATTGTGGTCTGAGGAGAATTTTCGTAAGCTTTTTCAAATCTACAGCACGTGAAAGACCTGGATTGGTTCTACAGTTTAGCTGAACAAGTAACTGGTTGTGTTTTTTGTGCAATTGTGTGTGTGTGTATAAACATTTAAAAAGGGTTGAGTCACGGCTGTTGCTGGCCCCTGTGACTTGAGCACACGCTGCATCCACAGCCTGAGTATAATTGCTGACTTCTTGATGCTCCAGGGTACATATTTCAGGCATTTTACACATTTTTTCCCCCCAAACAAATTAGCTTGGCATCCTCAATTCAATAATAGTAGACCTTCTGAGCAAGAATCAGGACCTCCAGATGAAGGTGGAGATGATGTCAGAAGCAGCCTTGAACGGGGACGGGGATGACCTGAACAATTACGACAGGTACTTCATGTTCAGCGATGCTGGGTGGAACCTTAGTTCCGTCTGAATACGTGTGTGTTTTTAAAGTTAAGTTCTCCAGAGAAGGACAGATGTTGCTTCTATGTGGAATCTAAAAAAAAAAAAAAAAGGGTACAAACTTATTTGCAAAAGAGAAATAGAGTCACAGATGTAGAAAACAGTCTTATGGTCATCAGGGTGTAAGGGGAGGAGGGATAAATTGGGAGACTGGGATTGCCATATACACACTACTATATATAAAATAGATAACTAATAACGATCTACTGTTACAGCATAGGGACCTCTACTCAATACTCTGTGGTGAACTATATGGAAAAAGAATTTATAAAAAGAGTGGATATATGCATGTATATAGCTGGTTCACTTTACCGTACAGCAGAAGGTTACACAACACTGTAAATCAACTATAATCCAATAAAAACTAAAAGAAAAGGAAAATATACATATAACTGAGTCATTTTGCTATGCAGCAGAAAATTAACGAAACATTATAAATCAACTGTACTTCAATATTTTTTAAAAAGTTAGGTTCTCCAATAGATTGGAGAAACAATTGCTTTGTGATTATTTGGCCATAAACTGACTTCCACAAATCTGGCAAGAGAGTGGAAATGGTTTGAACTGAAGATTTTAAATGCGGACCCTAGTACTTGTACTTGAGGCTCTGCAGACTGGGCCAGAATCCTTGCTTGTGTTTTATTCATTACAAATGATACTGTCTCTTGAATTTCTTCTGAGGGAGATGAGTTTCTGATCATACACATTGGTAACATTTGCAGCGATGACCAGGAAAAACAGTCCAAGAAGAAACCCCGCCTCTTCTGTGACATATGTGACTGCTTTGATCTGCATGACACAGAGGATTGTCCCACCCAGTCCCAGATGTCTGAGGACCCTCCCCACTCTGCACACCACGGCAGTCGGAGCGAGGAACGCCCATACTGTGAAATCTGCGAGATGTTTGGGCACTGGGCTACCAACTGCAATGATGAGGAGACCTTCTGATGAAGCCTCCCAGCCAGAACTGGGCTGTCTCAGATGTGCTAGCATGTAGGCAACTGACCACCAGCATTTTGCGTGCAGAAAGAACAATAAAGGGGGGTTTTCACCTCTGATTTTTGTCTTCTTGATTTTTAAAAAGTATTCCATTGCACCAGATGCCATTACACTCATCGTCCCTATGAGGGAGACCTCACAGAACGACTCCTACCCTGCCAGTACCTTATTTAAGTTAACTTTAAATTATACCGTTCCTCTTCATATTTGCACTAAAATATTTCCAGGCTGCATTTGTATATTTCGATGTTTGGGTTAAGCTTTGACACTGGAATGAGTTGAAAAAAAAAGTATGCCACTTTGCATTTTCATCTACTCATTTATTTTATTTTTAGTCAAAGAAATAGCTGAGTTCTTTGCACTGCCCGACGTCAGTAGTGCCTTTATTTAAGGCTTGATGATACTTTTAGGTGTGATTATAAAATCATGAACCAGGTAAAGGGAGGGGGAAGCCCCCAGACTGCTGTGGGGACGTTTTCTTATAATCTCGATGCTGCACCCACTTTACTGTGGTGTTTTGTTGATCAGTTTTGCATAATTTCAGCTTCTATATATTATATGTATATATTTTTGTAAAATCTATATTTTGGGGAAAAACCTATACAGTATGTCTTTCTTTTCAGATTTTTATCTTTATGAAAAAGGAAACACTTAAAATGTTCATCAGGACCTCACGGGCTAGGCCAGGATCAGCATCACGTGGCTTCGCAGCTGTGTGTTCTCTCTTCATTTTCTTTCTTTATCAGGAATAAGTAACTGGGAGAATTTTCTCCAGATTTTGTTTTTCTTCTCCAACAAATATCCCAAGGTTAATTAGATAATAAGCCACTCTAAAACACCTAAATGAACCAATCTACAATCTTTACAAGTTTTTTTTTTTTTTTTACTGTGTTTTTAGATGAATGTACGATGAGAAATTCAACATTAATAGTTTTGGATTTTCTTATCACAAAAAATAAAATGAAGGACCTCAACCACAAGTTTAGCAACCAGTTTGAATCTATTTATCTTCATTTCAATGTCTTTTAGAATATGTAAAAAGTAATAAATAAATGTATCTTCCAGGAGACATGTATAATAAGAACTTCTATAACTGTATATATGCCTTTGATATATTTTCCCCTCCAGATTATCAGCTATGTGTTTGACAAGTGAAAAATAAATATGTAATCAGTTGAAATTTGGGATTATAAACAAACATCATAATAGGAACTGTCTCACAAACACAAAATGTAAAGCAGTATTAAAATCCAAGCAAACAGGTGTTCTGTATCTACTTTAATAAATGGTTATTCTTTTTTGCTAGTGTAGTAGACTGGTATTATTCTCAGGTTTATTTGTCCTAATGGTTTTTCTTTAAATGAGCACGCACCAGAGGTCCAAATAGCAATTTCTACTGCAGTCTGTTGAGAAACTGCTTTTAAGAAATGATCTCAAAGCATTCTGTGACCCACTCAGCATAAAATAAATACCCAAGGTGGTTATCCATTGCTTTGTTTCACTATTATTACCTGACAGAAATGTAAGTGGCACTGTGCAGTACCAGCTACCTATTAAAGAATGAAGTGTGCAAAGAAACTGTGAAAGCTCCTGTGATATTTATCAAAATGAGGACTGAACCAAGCAATCTGGTTTTATGAGCTATGATCCCCGCACAGGTAGATATTTCCAAAGCAGAGATACCAGTTGAACATGACCAGAAAAGTACCCTGACAGTAGTCCGTGACTTCAGCATTGACAGAACTGATGAAAAGACTCAAACTATTAATCTACACTTATTGTGATCATTTCTCTCTCTCTCTCTCTCTCTCTCTATATATATATATATATATATATATGTATGTATATATCTCAAATCATGTTGTACACCTAAAATGAATGTTAAATGTCAATTATATCTCAATAAGAAATACATTTTAAAAAGAAAAGTTTCTAACACTAAACAAATTATTTTAAAATTAAGTATGTTTGGGACTTCACTGGTTGCCCAGTGGTTGAAGCCCAGTGGTTTAAATTCAGGAGGCACAGTTTCCATCCCTGGTTGGATCTTGATGATGCATGGTGAGTCTGAAAATTTTTGATAAAGTATTTTTGATAGAGTCAAGTAGAGAGTGGATGTAAGTAAATACGTGTAACTGATTATCACCTCCAAATCCCACTCTACTTATTCATATGTGAAAAAAAAAAAGTGAATGTGTTAGTTGCTCAGTGTTGGTTGACGCTTTGTGACCCCTGGAATGTAGCCCACCAGGTGCCTCTGTCCATGGGATTCTCTAGGCAATAATACTGCAGTTCAGTTGCTCAGTGGTGTCCAACTCTTTGCAACTGCATGGATGGCAGTACGCCAGGCTTCCCTGTCCATCACCGACTCCCAAAGCTTACTCAAACTCATGTCCATTGAGTCGGTGATGCCATCCAACCATCTCAACCTCTGTCGTCCCCTTCTCCTGCCTTCAATCATTTCCAGCATCAGGGTCTTTTCAAATGAGTCAGTTCTCTGCATCAAGTGGCCGAAGTATTAGGAGTTTCAGCTTCAGCATCCTTCCAGTCCTTCCAGTGAATATTTAGGATGGATTTCCTTTAGGATGGACTGGGTGTGTAGCCGCTATTCCCTTCTCCAGGGGATCGTCCCCACCCAGGGATTGAAACCTCTGTTAAGTCTCCTGCATTAGCAAGTGGATATTTTAGCATTAGCAGCGCCAAGGTAATTGCTTAGTGCATCCTTTCTTTGTAACAGTGTATAGAGGATTGAAGGGAGCCAGGCAAGACTAAAAGTTTTCAAGCCTCATTCAGTTAGGTCGCTCACTTGTGTCCAACTCTGCCACCCCATGGACTACAGCATACCAGGCCTCACTGTCCATCACCAACTCCCAGAGTTTACTCAAACTCATGTCCATTGAGTCATTGATGCCATCCAACCATCTCATCCTCTGTAGTCCCCTTCTCCCGCCTTCAATCTTTCCCAGCATCAGGGTCTTTTCAAATGAGTCAATTCTTCACATCAAGTGGCCAAAGTACTGGAGTTTCAGTTTCAGCATCAGTCCTACTGAATATTCAGGACTGATTTCCTTTAGGATGGACTGGTTGGATTTCCTTGCTGTCCATGGGACTCTCTAAAGTCTTCAACACCACAGTTCAAAAGCATCAATTCTTTGGCGCTCAGCTTTCTTTATAGTCCAACTCTCACATCCATATATGACTACTGAAAAAACTATAGCTTTGACTAGCTGGATCTTTGTTGGTAATGTCTCTGCTTTTTGATATGCTGTCTAGGTGGGTCATAGCTTTTCTTCCAAGGAGCAAGAGTCTTTTAATTTCATGGCTGCAGTCACCATCTGCAGTGATTTTAGAGCCTCCCCCCCCCCCCCAATAAAGTCTGTCACTGTTTCCACTGTTTTCCCATCTATTTGCCATAAAGTGATGGGACCAGATGCCAACGATCTTTGTTTTCTGAATGTTGAGCTTTAAGCCAACTTTTTCACTCTCTTTCACTTTCATCAAGAGGCTCTTTAGTTCTTCACTTTCTGCCTTAAGGGTGGTGTCATCTGCATATCTGAGGTTATTGGTATTTCTCCTGGCAATCTTGATTCCAGTTTGTGGTTCTTCCAGCCCAGCATTTCTCATGATGTACTCTGCATATAAGTTAAATAAGCAGGGTGACAATATACAACCTTGACGTACTCCTTTCCCAATTTGAAACCAGTCTGTTGTTCCATGTCTAGTTCTAACTGTTGCTTCTTGAACTGCATACAGATTTCCCAAGAGGCAGGTCAGCTGGTCTGGTATTCCCATCTCTTGAAGAATTTTCCAGTTTGTTGTGATCCACACAGTCAAAGGCTTTGGTGTAGTCAATAAAGCAGATGTTTTTCTGGAACTCGCTTTTTCTATGCTCCAACGGATGTTGGCAATTTAATCTCTGATTCCTCTGCCTTTTCTAAATCCAGCTTGAACATCTGGAAGTTCACAGTTCACGTACTGTTGAAGCCTGGCTTGGAAAGTTTTGAGCATTACTTTAGTAGCATATGAGATGAGTGCAATTTGTGGTAGTTTGAACATTCTTTGGCATTGCCTTTATTTGAGATTGGAATGAATACTGACCTTTTCCAGCCCTGTGACCACTGCTGAGTTTTCCAAATTTGCTGGCATATTGAGTGCAGCACTTTCACAGCATCATCTTTTAGGATTTGAAATAGCTCAGCTGGAATTGCATCACCTCCACTAGCTTTGTTCTTAGTAATTCTTCATAAGGCCCACTTGACTTCGCATTCCAGAATGTCTGGCTCTAAGTGAGTGATCATACCATCGTGATCATCTGGGTCATGAAGATCTTTTTTGTATAGTTCTGTGTATTCTTGCCACCTCTTCTTAATATATTCTGCTTTTGTTAGATCCATACCATTTCTGTCCTTTCTTGTGCCCATCTTTGTATGAAATGTTCCCTTGGTATCTCTAATTTTCTTGAAGAGATCTCTGGTCTTTCCCATTCTATTGTTTTCCTCTATTTCTTTGCACTGATCACTGAGGAAGGCTTTGTTTTTTATCTCTCCTTGCTATTCTTTGGAACTCTGCATTCAGATGGGTATATCTTTTCTTTTCTCCTTTGCCTTTCACTTCTCTTCACAGCTATTTGTAAGGCCTCCTCAGACAACCATTTTGCCTTTTTGCATTTCCTTTTCTTGGGGATGGTCTTGATCCCTGCCTCCTGTACAATGTCATGAACCTTCGTCCATAGTTCTTCAGGCACTCTATCAGATCTAATCCCTTGAATCTATTTCTCTTACACTGTATAATCATAAGGGATTTGATTTAGGTCATACCTGAATGGTCTAGTGGTTTTCCCTACTTTCTTCAATTTGTCTGAATTTGGCAATAAGCCTCTTTCACCAGATCCCAAATAGCCAGTTAAACACTCAAAGTATTGAAAAGCATATATCTTTCTAATAAGTTATTTATTGAGTAATTATTAAATTACAGGCACCCTGCTAAGACTTGTACGTAGATCACACGATGTAGATTACATCCTGTTTCATCTTTACAACTCACCAGGTAACATGTGAATTTTACCTGGATTTTACATTGGATAGTAGTTAAGTGAAATACCATGTCGTATATATGTCTACTAGGAAGAGCTAAACAGACAAGTAACTCAAGGTTCCCTCAGCCCTTAGCCATTTTTGTAGATTTCAGCCTACAAACTCAAAACAGCAACGCACAAGACCTTTAGATTGCTATAATTTAAAAGATTTAAAAGATTGCTATAATTTAAAAATTGGAAGTAAAGTTATGACCAACCTAGACAGCATATTAAAAAGCAGAGACATTACTTTGCCAACAAAGGTCCTCCTAGTCAAAGCTATGGTTTTTCCAGTAGTCAAATATGGATGTGAGAGTTGGACTATAAAGACAGTCGAGCGCCTAAGAATTGATGCTTTTGAACTGTGGTGTTGGAGAAGACTCTTGAGAGTCCCTTGGACAGCAAGGAGATCCAACCAGTCCATCCTAAAAGATATCAGTCCTGAATATTCACTGGAAGGACTGATGCTGAGGCTGAAACTCCAGTACTTTGGCCACCTGATGCGAGGAACTGACTCATTTGAAAAGACCCTGATGCTGGGAAAGATTGAAGGCAGGAGGAGAAGGGGACTACAGAGGATGAGACGGTTGGATGTCTTCAGCGACTCAGTGGACATGAGTTTGAATAAACTCTAGGAGTTGGTGATGGACAGGGACGCCTGGCGTGCTGCAGTCCATAGGGTCTCAAAGAGGTGGACACGACTGAGCGGCTGAACTGAATGACTGAAAAGATTTCCATTCAAATATAGCTTCGTTATCATTTTACAGAGAGTATACTTGCTGCTAAGAAGAAAGCCTCGATTTTTAAACCGGACGTGCAGGATCTAGTCTCTGTCCTTAAACTCAACCAGCACCCAGCTCCGGTGCTCCGGACTGTGGAGAAGTCTGAATCGGGTCTTAGGATACCTCGGAACCCACGCGGTCGAGGAAAGAGGCGGGCACTAGGACCCGGAGGGAGAGGGGCAGATGCCCGCCCATTCTGGTTTTCCGGGTTTGGCGTGCTGTCAGCGGCTCTGGTCACGTGAGTCTGTCGTCACGTGACAGCGTCGGTGGGCCACACCTAGGGGAATGCAGATCTGGTTGGAGTGGGGGGGTAAAGCGGGCGGTGGGGCAAGATGGCGGCACACCTGTCCTACGGGCGAGTGAACCTCAATGTGCTGCGCGAGGCAGTGCGTCGCGAGCTGCGCGAGTTCCTGGACAAGTGCGCGGCGACACCACCGTCCGGCCTGGCCTCATCCGGTCCCTAACTGCCTGGGCTCCAAGTGTACTAGGTCTCCTAGGGCTTCCAGGGAGGAGAGCTGGCGGAAACGATAAGTCGGGGAGAGGTGCCCATTGGTGGGGCTTTCATCGCTAAGTACAAATGGCATCGCTGTTGTTTCGTGGCTGCAGAATAAGCCACCGTGTTGTCTCAGCCCTTCGTGAACCAGCTTGTGACAGGTGTCCCTCAGGTCCAGAGAGGCGGATCCGGTGCCCCCCGCCCAGTTCCCACCCGAGATATTGGAACTGGTGAGGCGGCCCCGCCCAGGAACGTAGCTGCACCAGTGTCCATTCATTACAAAGATCTTATGTGTCGTTATAGATCATATCCTCTAAAGAATGAACACAAACTACCAACACCTTGCAATCTTCTGCTCACTTGAATTGTGAGAAGTTGTAACTATCTGAGATTTTTAACGTCAGCTTACTTAAATAGTATTTTTTTTTGCTTGTTAGATATTTATTAGCACCCAACTCACAGTGGAATCAGAAACCGTAGATCAGGAACTTCACAGGACTTCTTTTAAGTGGTATTACCTCCCTCCTCTCCCCTTAGGATTTATCAGTCTTCCTAAGTAACTGGCAATATAACTCTGAAGAGAAGCGGAAAATTGGGGAAATTCAGCAGTCAGTATTAGAAAAAATAGGACCCCAAGAAATTGAGTGAGTGCTAGCAGCTATGGAGAGAAAAAAAAAAGCAGGCCAAGTCCTAGGCGCCCAGTTTCAGCTCATTAAATAACTCTGAAATCTGAATGAGATCATGGATTGTATCAGTGTCCATACCCTGGTTGTAATATCTATTGTACTATGTTTTGCGAAATGTTTGCATTGGGGGAAACTAGACAAAGCATACGGGGGAGTCTCCCTGTATTGTTTCTTTCAACTGAGTATTTGTAATTCTACAGATGTCTCAATAAAACTTTCCATTTAAAAAAGAAAGAAAAAGAGCTGACACTGGACTTGAGCAGTAGAAATGCTCAGAGGGTCCCGGAGCAATGCTCCGTGAGGTCGTTCTGTCCCAGGCTGGAGACCTGACTTCTTCATGCTGTTTATATTCAAGGTCCTAATATGGCCTTGGACCTTTTTAAAAAAGTAATTAATCTATTTATTTTTATTTTTGTTTGCGTTCGGTCTTCGTTGTTGCCTGTGAGCTTTCTCTAGGTGCAGAGTTTGGGGCTACTCTCTAGTTTCGGTATACGGGCTTCTTCCTGCTGTGGCTTGTCTTGTGGAGCACGGGCTCTTGGTGCACAGGCTCCATTAGTCGCAGCATGCAGGCTCAGTAGTTGTGGCTTGCTGGCTCTAAGGCATGTGAGCTTCAGTAGTTTTCAGCACGGGGGCTCATTAGTTGTGGTTCAAGGGCCCTTGAGCGTGCAGACTTCAGTAGTTGCAGTACTTGAGCTCAGTGGTTGTGGCGCATGGGCTTAGCTGTTCTGAGGCATATAGAATCTTCCCAGACCAGAGATCAAACCCATGTCCTGTGCATGGCAGGTGGACTTCCATCACTGTGCCGCCAGGGAGTCCTGGACATGTTACTTAAACTTTCTGAGCCTTTAAAATTTTTCTCTTGTCAAAATAAACTTTGTAATACCTATATCAGAGGTTTTAGTTTTTATAATTGAATTGTATGCCACTTATAAAATAGTAGGTTGAACTGTTGCATTTGGCGGTTTCCATATGGTTCAGTCTAGTAATAATACTGTGACACAGATACACAGCAAACTACAGTTCCTTGTTTCCTTTAATTGTTCAGTCGCTCAGTCATGTCCGACTCTTTGCAACCCCATGGACTTTAGCACTCCAGGCTTCCCTGTCCTTCACCATCTCCCGGAGCTTGCTCAAACTCGTGTCCATTGAGTCAGTGTGGCCATTCAACCACCTCGTCCTCTGTCATTGCCTTTTCCTCCTGCCTTCAATCTTTCCCAGCATCAGGGTCTTTTCAGCTATTCACATCAGATGGCCAAAGTCTTGGAGCTTCAGCTTCAGCATCAGTCCTTCCAGTGGATATTCAGTGTTTATTTCCTTTAGGACTGACTGGTTTGATTTCCTTGCAATCCAAGGGACTCTCAAGAGTCTTCTTCAGCACCACAGTTCAAAAGCCTCAGTTCTTTAGTGTTCAGCCTTCTTTATAGTCCAACTCTTGCATCTATACATGACTACTGAAAAAAACCATAGCTTTGACTAGACTGACCTTTGTTGACAAAGTAGTGTCTCTGCTTTTTAATATGCTCTCTAGGTTGGTCATAACTTTTCTTCCCAGGAGCAAGCGTCTTTTAATTTCTTGGCTGCAGTGATTTTTTTATCCCAAGAAAATAAAGTCTGTCACTGTTTTCATTGTTTCCCCATGTATCAACCATGAAGTGTTGGAACTAGATGCCATGATCTTTGTCTTCTGAATGTTGAATTTTAAGCCAGCTTTTTCACTCTCTTTCACCTTCATCAAGAGGCTCTTTAGTTGCTCTTTACTTTCTGCCATAACGGTGGTGTCATCTGCATATTTGAGGTTATTGATATTTCTCCCGGCAATCTTGATTCCACCTTGTGCTTCATCCAGCCCAGCATTTCACATGGTGTACTCTGCATGTAAGTTAAATAAGCAGGGTGACAATATACAACCTTGATGTACTCCTTTGCCAATTTTAAACGAGTCTGTTGTTCCATGTCTGGTTCTAGCTGTGGCTTCTTGACCTGCACACAGCTTTCTCAGGACGCAGGTCAGGTGGTTTGGTATTCCTATCTCTTGAAGAATTTTCCAGTTTGTTATGATCCACACAAAGGCTTTAGCATAGCCAATAAGGCAGAAATAGATGTTTTTCTGGAATTCTCTTGCTATTTTAATGATCCAGCAGAAGTTGACAGTTTGATCTCTGGTTCCTCTGCCTTTTTTAAATCCAGCTTGAACGTCTGGAAGTTCTTGGTTCATGTATTGTTGAAGCATCCCTTGGAGAATTTTGAGCATCACTTTGCTAGCATGTCAAATGAGTGCAACTGTGCAGTAGTTTTAACATTCTTTGGCATTGCCTTTCTTTGGGGTTGGAATGAAAACTGACCTTTCCCAGTCCTGTGGCCACTGCTGAGTTTTCCGTATTTGCTGGCATATTGAGCGCAGCACTTTAACAGCATCCTCTTTTAGGATTTGAAAAAGCTCAGCTGGAATTCCGTCACCTCCACTAGCTTTGTTCCTAGTGATGCTTCCGAAGGCCCACTTGGCTTCAAAGGACAGTGATTAAATCTTAATTTTCCTATGACCGCCAGTGACATTACTTGCCCTGATGCTGTTTTTTTGTTTGTTTGTTTGTTTTGTTTTAAGATCCACACAATATAAATGTGACCAGAGCTAGTTACAGTCTTTGTTTATTCAGACTTTGAGGGCAGTAGTTCTACTATGTATGACTGCCATTTTCTGTTGATATTGTTGAAATTCTTGATATTAACTGTAATGTTCATTTCGTTTCTCTTGTAGGCAATAGTTTGGGATGAGTATCTCACTGGACCCTTTGGCCTGATTGCACAGTATTCACTGTTGAAGGTAAGTGAACTGTTTGGGTTTTGTTCAGGAACTAATAACGCTGTACTTCAGCAATAATAGTAAGATTTTACATTTCCTCCTGAGTAAATAGCTTGCAGGGCTGTTTGGTCTTTATAAACACAGACGCTAATGTATGGCTAACATTTTGTATTCAGTGATCCTTTGGTTAATGATTCTATATTAATCCTAATTGCTCTCATTGTTGTTGTTGTTTAGTCGCTAAGTCGTGTCTGACTTTTCTGTGACCCTTTAGACTGTAGCCCACCAGGCTCCTCTGTCCATGGGATCCCTGGCCAGAATATTGGAATGGGTTGCCATCTCCTTCTTCAGGGGATCTTCCTGACCCAGGGATCAAACCTGCATCTCCTGCATCAGGAGGCGGATTCTTTACCACTGAGCCAGAACAGAAGTCTAGCATTATATGACTGTTACCTGGTATCTTTGATACTTTCTCGTGTTAGAGTCATTTACACTCAAAGACTTATCACAGTGACTTCATCCTGCAACCTTAACTGTTAATATAGCTGGCTTTGGGAAATCTAAATTTTGAGAACAAAGCATTGATGTGCGTTGACTGGGAGTGTTTCCGATGTCCGAGTGTGACCATGATACTTAAAGCTGAGTGATTTTGTTAACCTTTTGTGTATGTGTTTTCTTAGGAACATGAAGTGGAAAAAATGTTTACGCTTAAAGGAAGTCGTTTGCCAGCAGCTGATGTCAAGAATATAATATTTTTTGTCAGGCCCAGGCTAGAATTGATGGATACCATTGCTGAAAATGTGCTCAGGTATTTCAGGACTTAGTTTGCGCCAGTAGGAGCCAATCCTTCTAAGGGTTTGAATGTCCTAAGCTTTCCGTCGTAAACCCCTTCTCTCGCCAGTGCCTTGGATGGTGGCCTTTGGCTTCCTGTTTGTCTGTTTTTAATATTTATTTATCTGGTCATGCTATGTCTTAGTTGCAGCACTCAGGACCTTTGATCTTCATTGTGGCATGTGGGGTCTTCAGTTGCAGCATGCAAACTCGTTTTCTTTTTTTTTTAATATTTATTTATTGGCTGTGCTGGGTCTTTGTTGCTGCACATGGGCTTTTTCTGGTTTCAGAGAGGGAGTTCTCCTCTCTAGCTGTGATGTGCGGGCTTCTCTTTGCAGTGGCTCCTCTTGTTGTGGAGCACGGACTCAAGGGCACGTGGGCCTCTGGTGTTGCCACTCATGGGCTCCAGAGTGCAGGCTTTGTAGCTGTGGTACATGGCCTTAGTTGTTCATGGCACGTGGGATCTTCCCAGACCAGGAGTTGAACCAGTGTTTCCTGCATTGCCGGGCAGTTCCTTCACCACTGGCCCATCCAGGAAACCCATGCAAACCCTTCTTTGGGATCTAGATTCCTGATCAGGGATTGAACCCGAGCCCCCTGCATTGGGAGAGCGGAATCTTAGACCCTGGACCACCAAAGATGTCCCAGAAAGTGGTCTTTTAGAAAAACTAGGACAGACGTGGAAAAATACAAGAATGGAAATAGGAAACTCGTGACATTGTTCAAACAGTCTGAGAGGGCAGTCATCATAAAACTGCATTCTTTTAGGACAGCTAAAAGTTTGGATGTGTATCAGTAGAAAGGACCCTGGTTTTAAAAATGAACAACAACAAAAAAGCCTACCTCTAATGGTTACACTGATTACAAGGTGCTTGAATTTTATAAGCAAAGTAAGAGCTGATTAAAATTTAATATAGCATCCCGTCTAGAGAGGAAGTTCTCCCAGCTCCGTCTGCGATATAATCGATTGATGTAGCCCCTAAAATCTTAAAAGCCACATGGGCTATTTTGAGAAGTCCACTGTCGAGGACGAGAGAAAGAAGAGTCAACAGTGAGCTTTCACTTTAAAAGGAGTCTCTGTGGCTGCATCGGTTTGGTGAAAGAACCGTCTGTTTTCAGTAAGACCCAGATACCCCATTTCAGTAAACCTCAGAGCTTTCATGCCCCTGAAAATAGTTAAAGAGAGAGCTAGAAAATACACATATTGGCTATGAATCAATGCTGGTTTCCTGTCAGGGGAAAAAAAAGATCAAGAAAGTGACTGTAACTGTTTGGGTCTGAAAGTCAATGTCATATGTTTATCTCACCTGCATTGATTTAGTGCTTTCTGTGTGCACGGCAGTGGGGATAGTTAAGTGAAATAGTCCAAGACTCTAGGGAGCTCATAAGCTAACAAATGTTCCTTCTTTTGCAGTGAAGACAGACGTGGCCCAGCAAGAGATTTCCACATTTTGTTCGTGCCACGACGTAGCTTATTGTGCGAACAGCGGTTGAAGGATCTGGGTGTTTTGGGATCCTTTATTCATAGGGATGAGTACAGCCTAGATCTCATCCCTTTTGATGGGGATCTCCTATCCATGGAATCGGAGGGTGCATTCAAAGTAAGTTTGGCATTTTCTGTTTAAAGTCAGGCTGTGATTTTTGCCAAATTTATGAGCTTGATGGTCATTTTCATCTCAGATGTATAGCAGAATGATTTAGTATTTTTGCAGATTATATTCTATTATGGGTTATTATATTACGTATAGTTTCATGTGCTGTACAGTATATCCTTGTAGTTTATTTATTTATTTTTTAACTAGTTGGTATCTGTTAGTCCCATACCCCTAACTTGTCCCTCCCCTCTTCCATGCCCCGCTAGTTTCTTATCTTGCCCTTTTTTTTGGATGGGGGGCGGTGAAGTAGAAAAGAATAGCTTTATTGCTTTGCCAGGCAAAGGGGGCCACAGTGGGCTCCTGCCGTCAAAACTGTGTATCCCCTCCTGGAGGGAGTAGTGAGGAGTTTTATAGCAATGGTCCAAAGAGGGCATGATCAACTAGTGGACACTCTTCTGATTGGTCAGTGGTGAGGTAAGTGGGAGTCAGCATCATCAACTTTCTGATTCCAATGGGTCTGGAGTCTGCATGCTTAATGAGCAGCATACAGTTAACGTCTGCCACCTAGTGGAGGTGTCAGTATCTGGTGTCTGGACTTACTGAGGCTCAGGTTCTTTGTTTCTCAGCAGACGGAATTCAGTGAGAGGCAAAGGGATAAGCAAGAAGTAGATTTATTAATAAAGGACACTTGTAAGAGATGCAAGCCGGCAGGCGAGGGAGCTCTGCCACTACTAGTTGGTTTTCTATGTCTGTAGGTCTGTTTCTGTTTTGTGTATACATTCATGGTATTATCTTTTTAGATTCCACATATGAGTGACATCACATAGTGTTTGTCTTTCTCTGTCTTATTTTGCTAAGCATAGTATTCTCTAGGTCCATCCATCTTGCTACAAATGGCACTATTTCATTCTTTTTTAATGGATGAGTAATATTCCATCGTACACTTGCTAAGTTGCTTCAGTTATATCCAACTCTGTGTGACCGTTTGGACTGTAGCTCTCCAGGCTCCTCTGTCCATGGCATTCTCCAGACAAGAATACTGGAGTGGGTTGCCATGCCCTCCTCCAAGGGATCTTCCCAACCCAGGGATTGAACCCAGGTCTCCTGCATTGGCAGGTGGGTTCTTTCCCACTAGTGCCACCTGGGAAGCCCAATATTCCATTGTGTGTGTGTGTTTGTGTATGTGTATATATATACAGACACATACACACATATATGTATGTGTATGTGTCTATATATATGTGTGTGTATATATATATCCACACACCCCCTATCTTCATAATCCATTCATTTGTTAATGAGCACTTGGGTCGCTTCCATGTCTGTTGTAATTAGTACTCTTATGAATGTTGGGGTACATACAGTATCTTTTCAAATTAGTGTTTTTGTTTTTTCCAGATATATATCCGGGAGTGGGATTGCTATTTCATGTGGCAGTTTTAGTTTTTTAAGGAACCTTCATACTGTTTTCCATAGTGGCTGCACCAATTTACATTCCCACCAGGAATGTAGGAGGGTTCCCTTTTCCCTTTTCTCCATACCCCCTCCAGCATTTATTATTTGTGGACTTTTTAATGATGGCCGTTCTCACTGGTGTAAGGTGGTACCTCATTGTAGTTTTGATTTGCATTTTTCTAATAATTAGTGACATTGAGCATCATTTCATGTACCTATGTGGCCATCTGTATGTCTTCTTTGTGGAAATGTCCATTTATACCTTATGCTTATTTTTTTTATTGGGTTTATTTTTTTGTTATTAAGTTGTATGAGCTGTTTGTATATTTTGGAAATTAAGCCCTTGTCCATTGCTTTGTTCGAAAATAATTTCTCCCAGTTCATGTGTTGTCTTCATTTTGTTTATAGTTTCCCTTGCTTTGCAAAAGCTTATAAATTTGATTACGTCCAATTTGTTTATCTTTGCTTTTATTTCTATTGCCTTGGGAAACTGACCTAAGAAAACATTGGTATGATTTATGTTAGAATGTTTTGCCTACATTCTCTTGTAGGAGTTTTATAGTATCATGTCTTATATTTAAGTAAACATGGCAGTTTAAAAAATTTTTTTATTGGTTGATTTATATTTTTGGCTGCAGTGGGTCTTTGTTGCTGTGTTAGGGGGCTAGTTGCAGCAAGCAGGGGCTACTTTCTAGTTGTCTCTTGACTTAGTTTATGGTAGTTTTTGCTATGTGTACTTTCTTTTCTTTTTAAGTATATTCTGTATTCAGATGAGTGCACAAATCATGAGTATAAAATTTGATAGATTTTCACAAAGTGAACACACCTGGGACTCTGCTTAAAAAAAAAAAATGCTACCAGTATTCCAGAATGCCTCCTTTTCCACTTCTAGTTTCTCCCCACCCTATGTGTGTTTTCTTAATGGAGTCATGTTTATCTGTGTTTCCTTCTTTGAATTTTGTGTATGTGACCGTGATCTTGCTAGTCTGGAGACTAGAACTTTTGAGAAGCACTGGTGTTGTGCCCAAAATTATTTGAAACTTTTCTTCTGTATTATGTTGTTACTGTGATCACTATCTTCAAAGAGTTAACCTGAGGAAAAACTCAGTGGCATCCCTGATGAATTTTATAACCAAGAGAGTTTCTTGGCTTTTTTTTTTAAAGTCATGTTCCCCATTGTTTTGCTTACACCAAACCTCTTCCAGTGGTGGTACAGATTTCTCCACCTACCCCCCGCCCCTAATGTTTTATATGAAACATACAGAAAAGTTGAAAGTTGAAAGAATGGTACAGTGAACACCTGTAGACTCATCACCTAGATTCTGGAATTAACATTTTTCTGTATTAACTTAAAATCACGTACCTATAATGGTGTACCCTGGTGTAATTCATTCACATCTTTGCAATTAATGTGCCTCGGTAGCAGCTGAGGGAAACTTGCCCTGGCATGATAAAACCTGCCCAGAGGAGAGATTTCCTGTTTATTTAACCGCTGGTTTGTAAGAAAGGACAGAATTCTTTTCTGCCAAGAATTTCAAGCCCTTGGCTGTATATATTCACTTAAGATTCTGTTTTAGAAATCAAGGATTTTGCCTGAATAATAAAGCTAAGAATTCTACCTAATGTTAACTTCAAGTCCAATTTCTAATAGAGGTGAGGTAATTATACTTATTTATTGGATTTTAAACAGTGAGCATAATTAGATTTTTGGTTTCTTTCTTTTTTTTTTTTTTGGCATCAGGAGACACACATGGACCTTCCTGTGCTTTGGGGACATGATTTTGATCGTCTTGAACATTATACTGTACAGAATGTGGGAATTAGAGTTCAGTTCAGTTGAATGCTCAGTCACAGGGCTTAAACTGTTTTGGCCTTCACTTCTACATGTAGGAATGAATACATAGAAAATCTGCCTACCTCCTTTTTAAAAATTGCAAGATACTCTACTGTGTAGGCATGTGGGACTTTGGGGTCAAAAAAACATGTATATTTAAATGTTAGTGGGTGTTAGCATTTGTCCCCTCCAAAAATGTCCTCATGGCTGAAATACCAGGTGAAATTCCACAAGCACAGAATAGAGGGATATTAGGACAAATAATCACCCACCACCAGTCATATGAGAACAGAAAATTCAAGATTTTCTTGAATTCAAGAAAAAATTCAAGAAAAATTCAAGATCTATCTTCAACTTTTAAATCTTTTAAGAGATAGAATTATAAAACAAATATCTTTATAGTAATGCAGCTTTCTAAATTTAAAAAATTAATACTACTTTGAGAGATGTTCTCTAATTTTATTTTTCTTAACTTTTGTCTTGGCTTTGCTCCAATAGGGAGTTTTAAGTAATTTTTCCATAAAGTATGTCTCTGGACATTCTTTTTTTTTCATTTATTTTTATTAGTTGGAGGCTAATTACTTTACAGTATTGTAGTGGTTTTTGCTGTACATTGACATGAATCAGCCATGGATTTACATGTGTTCCTCATCCTGAACTCCCCTCCCACCTCCTTCCCCATCGCATCCCTCTGGGTCTTCCCAGTGTACCAGCCCCGAGCACTTGTGTCATGCATCCATCCTGGGCTGGCGATCTGTTTCACACTTGATAATATACATGTTTCGATGCTGTTCTTTCAGATCATCCCACCCTCGCCTTCTCAATAGAGTCCAAAAGTCCGTTCTATACATCTGTGTCTCTTTTTCTATCTTGCATATAGGGTTATTGTTACGGTCTTTCTAAATTCCATATATATGCATTAGTATACTGTGTTGGTGTTTATCTTTCTGGCTTACTTCACTCTGTATAATGGGCTAGTACAGCCACTATGGAGAACAGTGTGGACATTCTTGATTTGGCTGTGTCATATGCAGTGAAATGTTAGCATTGCCAGGCTTGGAAGAGACACCAGGCATTACTTTCAATGAAGACCGAGCATCCTCACAGGCTCCTTCCAGGCACAGCCCCCCTTCCTCCCTGGGGCAGAACAGATGGATTCCACCTTCTCATCCTGAATCCCTCCAGCGTCCCCTCCCTCCTGGCTTTGGAGACTATAGACATGTCATGAGGGTCAGTGAGATGTGTCTAGTCCAGTGTTTCATTCTGACTAATGAGTGAATGATAATTATGAAGAGGAAAAATCCAAAAGATTTCTAATTGTTATATAATAAAATAATAGAAAAATAAAATAATAAAATTATTTGTTAATAAAAGCCATATATTAATATAAATAGAAAAACTAATGATTTATTTATATTTTAATATATTAATAATGTTAAATATTATTATTATTATAAATAATGACAAAAGCTCACATAAGCACTCATATGTTTCAGGTCCTGGGCTGAAATGTTTTACATGTGTTTTCCTCATGTAATCCATGTACTATGTTGGATATGCTCCTTCTGCAGACAGTAAGGCATAGAGAGATTATCTGATTGCCCCAAGCACCAACTGGGAAGTGACACAGCTGAGGTTAGGAACGAGGCAACCAGTTAGGAACCTGTGCTCCTACCAGTGTCAAACTGCTGGAATCTCTCCTGTCACTTCCTAGCTGGGTTTGTTTTTTTTTTAACTTTTTATTTTGTATTGGAATATAGCCAATTAACAATGTGTTTTTTTCATTTTTATTATAATTTTCATAATTTATTGACTTTTTGGATTTTCTTCTCTTGAGTTGTCACTTTTGTGTATTATGTTTCTTTCTATTTCTTTTATTTTCAATTGGAGAACAATTGCTTTACAATGTTGTGTTGGTTTCTGCCATACAACGTGAATCAGCCATAAGTATATGTATGTCCCCTCCCTCTTGAACCTCCCTCCCACCTCCCCCCAGCTGGTTTGCTGTGTATTTTTGTGTCCCTTTTTCTATGCCAAAAAAGTACATGTTTGCCTACTTTACAAAATATACCCTGTATACTTCATAAGTTAAAATATATTTTCTGAAAATGGGATCACTCTAAAGATTGTTCAGCTACCCCTTTTTCATTTCTCAAGATGTTATGGCCTTCAGTTGCCATCAGTGTGTATGAAAATCTGTGTCATGTTTGTAAAGACTGCCACGTACTCCGTTGTCAGGTCACCTGGGATTCTGGGGTTCAGAGAATATGTGCACTTGTGGGTATCGCCATGTGACCTCCCACAATGTCCTCCTAGCCTCTACACTCACCGCTGTGAATGAGAGGGCCTGGCTCCCTCCTAAGTCTGTCTTGGTAGTAGTGGTCTCGTCAGTAAGTCATGTCCAACTCTTTGTTACCCCGTGGACCGTGGCCCGCCAGGCTCCTGTGTCGGTGGGATTCTCCAGGCAAGAATACTGGAGTGGATTGCCATTTCCTCCTCCAGGGGATCTTCCTGATCCTGATGACAGGCAGATCTTTACCGCTGAGCCATATGGGAAGCCCATAAAATCTTTTCCAATCAGTAGCTTATTCAAGAGCTGGTAGACTAGGAGGAGTTCCTTCCAGAAGGCTCTGCCCTGGGAGAATTGCTTCCATAGCTGTCTCCTGATGGCAGAGCTCTTGGGCTCCTGGCCTGGGCTGCCAAACAGTAACTTTGTAAACTGGACCCCAGTCTGCAGCTTCCTGGCAAAGTGGAGAAGTGGAAACCATCTTACCCAGTGTCTGCCAAGTCCCAACACCAGACAGAGACAGGCATCAGGGTACCCAGGTGACCGTGACAGTAACCTGCCCTTTCTCTCCACAGGAGTGCTATCTGGAAAGTGACCAGACCAGCCTGTACCATGCAGCCAAGGGGCTGATGACCCTGCAAGCTCTGTATGGGACTATCCCCCAGATCTTTGGGAAAGGAGAGTGCGCCCGGGTGAGAAACAGGAGATGCCTCTGGTGGTGGAGCAAGGGCCCCTTGGTCCCTGGGAAGGGGAGGAGTAGGAATCTGTTTTGATTTGAAAATTCACATACTTGCTGAAATTTCTTTATAGCTCCCAAATCGGCACAGTGTTTTGCAGATACGCTCAGGGAGGCAGTAATTTGTATCATCCAGTAATTGAAGTTGTGCATGTTCTCAGCTGAGATCACAGCAAGCAACTCTCTGCCTTGAGCTCATACCATAAACAAGTGTGATTTTTGCCACTATAGTGCCATGCAGTACTTATTGCCACTTTTGTGTGTGTGTGTGCATTTTTGTGCTTTTTTTTTTTTGGTTGGTGATTTCACTGTTAAAATGACCCCCAGGGGTGGTGTGGAAGTGCTGTCCAGTTTTCAGAATGTAGGAAGGCTATGGTGGGCCTTTAGGGAGAAAACTCATGTTAGATGAGTTTCATTCAGGTGTAAATGATAGTGTTGGAGAATCAACAGCATATATTTAATGTCTTTAAATAGAACACACATAAAACAAGGTTATATATTGATCAGATGATGAAACTGTTGTAACCAGAGACTCAAGGAGCCCTCACCCTAATGGCCCTGCAGAGCAGTGGTTCAGTATTCACTGATTCAGCATTCACGGTGACTTTATAGAATAGAACTTCTGTGAATAATAGAAATAGACTCTGTGATTTTATGCCTCGTTGAGAAATAGCTGGTAAAAGTGTAAGTGTTGGAATGGGCGTCCAACATGGAGCGCTATTCTGTCGCTGTTTATTTCTTGTCCATCTCACTCTTCCACCATTTGTGTCTAGTTTTTACTTTTTTGATACTTTCCATTTTTAGCTGATTTTTGTTTGTTTGTTTGTTTTTTTGGCTGTGTCAAGTGGCACATGGGGTATTAGTTTCCTGACCAGGGATCAAACCTGGGCCCCTTGTAGTAGAAGCGCAGTCTTAACTACTGGATCACTAGGGAAGTTCTAGCCAGTTTTTTTTTTTTTTTAGTCCTAGCCAGATTTTTAAATCTGCTTATGCCCAGGAGAGTCCCACCTTATCCCATGTTTTGTTTCCAGCAAGTGGCCAATATGATGATCAGGATGAAGAGAGAGTTTACAGGAAGCCAGAATTCAGTATTCCCCGTGTTTGATAATCTCTTGTTGCTTGATCGGAATGTGGATTTGTTATCGCCTCTCGCCACTCAGCTTACGTATGAAGGACTCATTGATGAAATCTATGGCATTCAGAACAGTGAGTAAAGTAACCCTGACTTTTACCAATAGGTAATCTGATAGGAATATCCAAAAGACCAGTTAAAATTTTTTTTCACAGAAAAACCCATATTCCAAGCAGTATTGATTATAGTGGATCAGAGAAGAAAAAATATGCCAAAATAGTAATTCAGAAGAATTAATGTTTTTTTCCAAAAGACGCTTCCTTTCTAAATAACTCAGAGAGTATTTGGAAAAATTAAAATGCTGACTTTAGACCTGCAGACACTAGGATTCAGTGACACCTGAGCAAAGTGTCCTTGTTGTTCACAAATAGGCTGGCGAGTGGTTACTGCACAGGACTATGTGTGCCCCCTGTGAGCAGAGGCCCAGGGCTAAATGCAGGTGGCCCTGCAGTTGGAGAAAATAGATTCCAAGCTGGGCAGTCACTCAGGAAAGCTTGTGGACGAGGTGGCTTTTGTACTGGGTTTGGAAAGATGGGTAGAATTTAGGGGGGCATTGCTGGTGAGGGGCAGGCAGCGTAATGCCTGCGGGGAACCGTGGGGCAAATGGCTTGCTGAGGCAGAGGGCACAGCGGGGTACATTCTGGAGAAAGGTGATAACAGGAGGCTGGACACACTTGATCATAGACTTGAAGGCCTGCTAGAGTTAGGCTTAACAGACAGTTGGGGTCAGAGGTCGCAAGTATATTTTATTTGGTTTTGACTGCATGGCTTGTGTCTGTTTCTGTCACTCTTTAAAATTGGAGAAGACTCAAAAAAAAAAAAAATTGCAGAAGACTCTACTAATGATCTTGATGTCTTTGAAGAAAAAGATCCATGTCTTTGAAAACCTATGAGGCTCTGGCAACCCCATGACCACATTCCTATGTGGCAGCTGGTGCCCAGTGAAGATGCCTTCTTTAGACAGGCCCTTCTCTCCAGATTACACAGACTCTACCACTCCTGTCTCAGCCAGGCCTCCTTCCCTCATTTACATCAGCCCCAGTCTCTGTTGGCATCCTGAATTATATCTTAGGGAGCCAAGGAATAGCCTTGGAGGAAAGCATGGAGACAGAAAATCAGCTGGTGGTGGCCAGGACTCAGGACAAGATGGGGAGTCAATTCCTGTTGGGTACGGGATTTCCTTTGGGTTTTTTGTTTTGTAATTTTTTATTCGGTTGCACCACAAGGCATGTGGTATCTTAGTTCAGCAAGCAGGAATTGAACCTGCACTCCCTGAAGTGGAAGCATTGAGTCTTAACCATTGGACTGCCGGGGAAGTCCCAGGGTTTTCTTTTGGGATAAAAAAAGTTCTGGAACTAGATAGCAGCTGTGGTTGTAGAAAGTTGTGTATATAATAATGCTTTTGTAAAATGGTTAAAATGGTAAGTTTTATGTTAGGTGTATTCTACCATAAGAATGCATGGATAAACAGATGGATAGATGGATGGCCAAGGGAGTAGATGAAGACACAGCCATAAAGAGGGGTTTCCACAAAGCAAAGTCTTTAATGTTAAGGCTGTGAAAAGTCTTATTTTTAAATTATTTGTTTCAAACTTTGGCTTTTTTTTTGTGGCTGTGTTGAGTCTTTTTTGTGGCGCAGGGGCTCAGTAGTTGCAGTACACGGGGTTAGTTGCCCTGCGGCACGTGGGATCCCAGTTCCCCGACCAGGGATCAAACCCAAGATCCCTGCATTGGAAGGCAGATTCCTAACCACTGGACCACCCAGGGAAGTCACCAAAAGATGGCATCTTGACTACTTCTAAAAACTCTACTTCATGGACAGAGGAGGTCTATGCTAGATAGTAGGTGGGAATCAAAGAAACGAGGGAGCCCCTGCTCTTGGTTGCAGAGAGCAAAACACCTAAGATACCTTTAGAAGGAGCTTGGGTTTAGGGCAGCGAGCTGGCCTGGCAGGTAGGGGAGGCTGTGTAAGATAGGTGAGAGGTAGGAAGGGATTCTCCAGGAAGAGAAGGAATATGTGTAAATTCAGTTTCTTGGCAGCAAGGTTTTCCTTTTCATAATATAAGTCAAACATTGATTAAGGAAGAAATGATAAAATAAAGAAGGCAAACATACATCTCCCATGATCCCTGAAATCCTGCCCCCAAACTTTGGGACAACCAGTGTTAATATTTTGGTGTATTTCTCATAGTCATTTTTTCCATGCAGAGTTTGTTTTTTAATTAACAAAAAGTAGAATCAGCTTGTACAGATTATTCTGAAACTTTTTGGGGGGGTGGGGGGGCTGTACCACATGCCTTGTGGGATATCTTAGTTCCCTGATCAGGTTTTGATTGAACCTGAATTGAACCCAGGTCCTCACAGAGAAAGTGCTGAGTCCTAACCACTGGACTAGGTACAGGGATTCCCTGACCTCACTTTTGATTTGGTATAAGATGAGCATTTTCTCAGCATATGTATAATTTTAATACCTTAGTTAAAATCTGTAATTTATATTATACCATGGTTTGTACAGCCCTTCCCCTAATGTTGGGCAGTTTATGTTGTTTGGGTTTGTTGTTTTTTTTTAATGGTTATAAAGGCATCTGTGTACATAATTTTTTTTCATATACTGTATTTCTTCCTCTGCATTCTCTGATGCAGGATTTAGGGGTCAGAAATATTAATATTATAAGGTCCTTGATTCATACTGCCAAGCTTCTTAGAGTTAAACCAGTTTATGTGCTAAGGCAACTCATGAGAGCATGTGGGGTATTTCCGGAAATGGCAACTAAGTTGGTTTGGAGGGAACAGAGGTGGGAGAAGTGGGTTAAGGCTCCTTAGTGGAGGAACTGGATGCTGTGCTGAGTAATTTGGGAGCTTCTTCTGGATCGGAGTGGAGAGCTTCTGTAAAAGCCAGATAGCAGGTATTTTAGGTTATACAGTGGCTCTGTGGAGTCTCAGTTCTTCATTGTAATGTGAAAGCAGTCCCAGATGAGAGAAAACAAATGGTCATGGCTTTGTGCCAATAAAACTTTATAAAAACAGGAAGTAAGCTGAAATTGACTTTCAGGTGATAGCTCTCAAACTATTTTGGACAACAACAAAATATGTATTCTATCATGACCTACTACATACACACATGTGTGTATGAAACTGAAGCAAAATTTTATTTAAAAAAAAAAACCATTCCCCTACTTCATGTGATGCACTATGGTATTTAATGTTTTATATGTTTGTTTATAATGCTAATTGCAACCCACCAACTTGATTTCGTGATCTGCTAATGGGACATGACCTACAATTTGAAAACACCATAAGATAATGGGAGAGATCCTTGTAAAAATTTTTTAAGTGAAAACGTAACCCATCCCTGAATAAGTTTAGGAACTAACTAAACATTGCTGCAGTGATTTAGATAGCTGACTCCAAATAAAGGTGGAACCATGATATTAATATTGAAGAGTGACTGCATTCTATACTGTGATTGTGGAAAAATCAGAGCTTCAGTGCCATGCACCATTTTTTGTAAAGCCGGCTTCCACCCTCTTGTGAGTTGTAAAATTCTGTTTAGTGCCTGAGCACTTGACTGGTTCTTCCATTAAACGCACGCAGGGTCTTGTTCCTTTCCGCTGTTGTTCAGGTTATGTGAAATTGCCTCCGGAGAAATTTGCACCTAAGAAACAGGGTGATGGTGGTAAGGACCTTCCCACAGAAGCAAAGAAGCTTCAGCTGAATTCTGCAGAGGAGCTGTATGCTGAGATCAGAGATAAAAACTTCAATGCTGTGGGCTCCGTGCTTAGCAAGAAAGCAAAGGTGATCTCTGCAGCATTCGAGGTGAGACTGTTTGGTTGTTATCCAGCTTCTGTAGGTCACAGGCTAGACTGCTCACCCCTCCTAGTGAGGAAGGACTGCCAAAAGTGCAGCCACTAAGCAGGGCTGCAGTTATCCTAAGAAACTGTGGGGTGGAGAGGGAGGTGGGAGGGGGGATCGGGATGGGGAACATGTAACTCCATGGCTGATTCATGTCAATGTATGACAAAACCCACTACAATATTGTAAAGTAATTCACCTCCAACTAATAAAAATAAATGAAAAAAAAAAAAAGACACTGTGGACTCAGCCACTGGAGGACCCAAGGTTTTCTTTTTTTTCTTTTTAATATATGCACCTTTATTCATTCATTCATTTATTCATTCTGCACCTTGTAGCATGCAGGATCTTAGATCCCCAACCACGGCTGGAACCCATGCCCCCTGCATTGGAGGCAAGGAGTTTCTAACCTCTGAACCACCGGGGAAATCCCCCCACCCCCCCAGGGTTTTCTTTTTAAACTTCTTCCCAGACCCATGAGAAAAGGTGTTTTTCTCTTTTAGGGAGAGAAAGGGGTAGTATTTTCAGTTTACAAGCGTTCACCATAAATATTTGTTTTACGTTCTTTTTAATTATTTTCCATCTCTCTTAAGAGGAAGCCAGCTGTACTCTAAACAAAAGATTCTCTATAATAGAACTTGCAATGTGGGCCAAAAGCTCCCAGTTTAGCCAACATACCAATGGCAAGGGAACTCTGCAGATGCAGGAGGTGATAATAAGAGCGAAATCCCAGGAGCCCAGAGCTTTTAAATGGACGGCTTCATTATCACCTTCCTGCCTCCTCTTACCCAGCCACCGGGTTATTCTTGGTTAAGCTCATTTTTGAAACGGGAATTCAGTAGGTTGCTGAACTCTGCATGTTTAGTCTTTGGAAACATATATTAGGAGAACTTTGAAGACTGACTTTTTTCACTGAGTATGTATTTCCAGGTTTCATCTTTTTTTTTTTTTTGATGGTGGTGGTTTTTTTTTTTTTTTTGATGTGGACCATTTTTTAAATCTTTATTGAACTTATTACAATTTTTGCTTCTGTTGTTCATGTTCTGGTTTTTTGGCCATGAGCCATGTGTGATTTGACCAGGGATCAAACCCACATCCCCTGCATGGGAAGGTAAAGCCTTAAAACACTGGACACACCTGGGAGGTCCCTAGGTTTCATCTTTCTTAGGATTAGTATTCGTTAATTGATTTTCTTCACTTTTCTGAGTTACTTGCTTTACAATTACTAAACTTTGCAACAAAAAAAATTTCTTATCACGAAGTAAGGTTCTTTTTATCCAGGGACAATATTCAAGATTGAGATTCAGCAGTAAGAATGGGTTTTTTTTTTTCTATTAAAGAGGAAACTATTTGCTATTTATGTTCCCCTCTTAACATCATGTCTTGATTTTAATTTTTTACTCAGAAATGTTTGTGGATAACCTTGGGGGATAACATTGTCCCCCACAAATACTAATCACAATATTATCTGGTGCCTGGGAAGGAAAAAAACCTTAGGCATTTGCTCCCTAAAAAAGTAATAATATAGTGAACAGGAACACCGAGCCTATCTTTTCTGTTTTTCTTTGTCATGTTGAAGTTGGGTCTGGCCTGATTTATTTGTATTCCATTCTTTCTTTTGCATTAGTATAAATTGAATGTCCTCTAAGCAACACAAAGAACAGAGCGCTTAAAATATCTTCCTCACTTCCCGCTTCTGCTGTTTTCTGCATTTCAGGAAAGGCACAACGCCAAGACGGTTGGGGAGATCAAGCAGTTCGTTTCACAGCTGCCCCACATGCAGGCAGCACGAGGCTCCCTCGCAAATCACACCTCGATTGCAGAGCTGATCAAAGATGTAACTAGTGAGTATCCTTGGGAAGTGATGGAGCTCACCTGGGGCTGCCTAGACGCACCATGACTGACACCGTGGCCATTGGCACCACCGTGCTCCCTGGGAGGGTTAGCTCTGTTTTAATACCGCATGTTATCCTCAGTGTTAATTAAATGTTCCCATATTTATAGTAAAAAATGTTCCCTTTGTGATTAACTCAGTTTTCTTTCATTAATAGGATAATGTAATCATGTAATACAATATTTGGATTGTCAAAAAGAGGAAAAAATTCTCCCCCTAACATGAGGCAGTTAATTTTTTCAGTCTGGTTTTTATCCTGTCATTAAGGATTACTTAGAGCAGCATCCAGTCTCTTGAGTTTTCGTTTTTTCCCTTGAAGACTCCCTGGGTAGAGAGCATGTGTTAAATATTTTGAAAGAGCTTGGGAAATGTCTGTTACACTAAAGATGAATTTACTTGTTAAAACACAGGCTATAAAAGCTGAGTTAGAGATTGTTCAATGCCCTGTTTTATAAAGTATACTTTGAATCTTACATAAAAGTGTTAGAAAATCAGTCCTTTGTTTTCATGTTGATGGAAGTGGAAATCAGGTGAAACTGGGTTAGAGCTGATGATGCAGGTAAAAGGCTCTTGGCAAATTAGCTTTCGTTGATACTGAAGAAAAATTCCTAAGATCTTATTAGAGTCCTAAGGATCTTGAGATTTCATTAGAGTCCTAAGAATAGCGAAGGGGTACAGTGGTTGACTATTCCTGTATGTAACTTAGGAGGTCAGAGTTGTAGTTTTCCGTGTTTCTTAGAAGATTCTTTTCAGGTGGCAGTTTGAATTTTTTTGTCTGCTTTCTTTTCTGCATGTTTCTTTTTTTTTTTCCTGCATGTTTCTTAATCATGCTTTGTGTGTGAAAGTGTTAACATTGATTGAATTTCTCACTTACGAATTTGCCGTTTCCGTTTTAGCTTCTGAGGACTTCTTCGATAAACTGACAGTGGAGCAGGAGTTCATGTCTGGAATAGACACGGATAAAGTATGTGAGCCTGAGCCTGTCCTAACAAACAGCTGATACCGTATCAAGACCGAGCTTACAGCTGGCAAAGCAGTTGCTTTGATTCCCATGCCTTATCCAAATATTTTGAAGAGCAGGTGCAAAATGTGAAAGTAGAGATCTTAAGCATTTAAGATTATTATATTGAAGGCACTTTCTTCAGTGCACAGAGAGGTGAGGCCCTGCCCCTAAAATCAAAGATCTCTAAATGAATAGATTTACTTCCTAAGTGAATTGGTCTTTTTTTAAAAATTCATTTATTTATTTGGCTGCACCAGGTCTTGGTTGCGGCATGTGGGATCTTTTCACTGTGGCATGCGGGATCCAGTTCCCTGACCAGGGATCTATCCCAGGGCCCCTGCATTGGGATCACTGAGTCTTAGCCACTGGACCACCAGGGAGGTCCCAGCAAATTGGTGTGGTAGTTCCTTTACATATCCATCTCTATTACTAAATTTGAGATGATTCAATTTATGAAAATTCCCAGTTCTTGTTACTGTATGCTGATAAGTGGCTGCCGGGGTAGCCAGGATCACACACCGGGACATGCAGCAGCCTCTGGAGGTTGTCCATCCATGGAGACAGATGAGTCCAGACAGGCTGCTGGGTCCCTCAAGTCTGCCTCACCAGCCTGCGCTCCCGATCTCTGGTGTGTCTGCGTGGTGGCCGGGGTGTGTGTAGCAGGGGCTGAAGGAGCTACTCTGGAGGGAGCTGAGGCAAAGTGCAGAAAGAATGAGCCCTTCTCCCACTCATCTCCTTTATTTGACTTTGAAAAATAGTAGTAAATATCCAGTTGTGTCAGCCCCCAGTCCAGATGCTGGTACCTGTCTACACTTTGTTTTCAGGTCAACAGCTACATTGAGGATTGTATTGCCCAAAAACATCCCCTGATCAAGGTGTTAAGACTAGTTTGCCTCCAATCTGTGTGCAATAGTGGACTCAAACAGAAAGTTCTGGATTATTACAAAAGAGAAATTCTACAGGTCAGTATATTTTTAAATGACTAATTTACCAGGGGTGAAAGCCTCTTTCTAAAAATGTACTTCCCAAAGCTGCTATTTGGGTGTGGTGTTTCCATTATCTTTTAAATGTTTTAATACCTGGAGGGATTGTCCTTGGTATTTATTGTCTGCTGTGTTTGCATAATAATAACAATGGTTAATGTTTATTGAGCTTTTACTACATGCCAGGCTTAGTTAGAAGAGTGTTACGTGTATTCATTTGTTTAATCCTGACAAAAGTAATGAGCAAGATAGTCTTATCCCCATTTTATGGATGAGAAAACTAAGGCACAGAATAGTGCTGTAACTTGCCCAAGGTCACCAGCTAGTGTGTGCCAGTTGTTTTTCATTCCCTAAGTTGTGTCTCTTTGAGCCATCACAGACTGCAGCACTCCAGGCTCCTCTGTCCTCCACTATCTCCCGGAGTTTGCTTAAATTCATGTCCGTTGAGTTGGTGATGCCATCTAACTATCTCATCCTCTGTCATCCCCTTCTCCTTTTGCCTTCAGTCTTCCCCAGCATGAGGATCTTTTCCAATGAGTTGGCTGTTCGAATCAGGTGGTCAGAGTATTGAAACTTCAGCATCAGTCCTTCTAATGAACAGTCAGGTTGATTTCCTTTAGAATTGAGTGACTTGATCTCCTTGCAGTCCAAGGGACTCTCAAGAGTCTTCCCAACACCACAGTTCAAAAGCATCAGTTCTTTGGTGCTCCACCTTTATGATCCAGCTCTCACATCCGTACATGATACTGGAAAAATCATAGCTTTGACTATATGGACCTTTGTTGGCAAAGTGATGTCTCTGCATTTTAATACGCTGTTTAGGTTTGTCATAGCTTTTCTTCCAAGGAACAAGCATCTTTTGATTTCACAGCTATAGTCACTGTCCACAGTGATTCTGGAGCCCACGAAAGGAAAGTCTGTCATTGCTTCCACGTTCTCCCCTTCTATTTGCCCTGAAGTAATGGAACCAGATGCCATGATCTTAGTTTTTTTAGTACTTAGTTTTAAGCCAGTTCTTCCACTCTCCTCTTTCACCCTCATCAAGAGAGTCTTCAGTTCCTCTTCACATTCTGCTGTGAGAATGGTACCATCTGCATATCTGTGGTGGTTGTGTTCTTGCCCAGAGAATCCCATGGATAGTATGTACCGGAGCCAGCACTAAACGCAGACAGCCAGGGCCTAGTGCTGCTGCTCTTTAACCAGACAATTCCACAGAGGAAGGGAACTTTCTGATGACAATTCTTTAGCTGACTTACTTAAGCCAGTTACTTTACAGTAAGGAAAGGCCCACCATTGTTTTTAAAATTCTCCGGTTTAAAAATGTTTCAGGCTGTATGTATTTGCTGTTACTATTTACAGTTAAGTATGTGACTGTCAAAACTAAATACTCACTTAGTTTGGGTTTTTTGTTTGCTTCGCCTTTAAAAAATTACACATGCATTCTCATCATATAACATTCAAATGAAGCAGAAGTATATGGTGCAAGGGCTTCCCAGGTAGCTCGGAAGGTAAAGAATCTGCCTGCAATGCAGGAGACCCGAGTTCAATCCCTGGGTTTGGAAAATCCCCTGGAGAAGGGAATGGCAACCCATTCCAGTATTATTATTGCCTGGAGAATTTCATGGACAGAGGAGCCTGGCGGGCTATAGTCCATGGGGTCGTATAGAGTTGGACACAACTGAGCATCTAACACACGCACGCACGTGCACACACACACACACACACACAATACAAACTGTGACCCTCCTCGCCTCCCGCTCCCCCACATTCCCCTCCCTGGAGGGGACTCACGTGAGCAGTTTGGATTGTGTGCTTCCAGATCCCCTTCTTTGCGTGTGTGTACAAAGAATGTTTACATGTACAGACCATGGGGCGAGACCAACTGGATCTGAGTCCCAGCTCTGTTACTCATTAGCTGTGTGACCTTGGGCAAGTTATTTAAAGTTCTCTGTAAAATGGAGATGATAATATCTACCTCGTGGAGTTATAGTAAGAATGATTGAGTTAACAGATACAAAGCACTTAAAACATGAAAAGTATCATATAAGCATCAGCTTTTATTACTCACTAGATCTCTTTTAATAGAAATAAAATCCTATTATGTGAAGTACAGTAAGTCCCCTACACACAAACCTTCGAAAGTTACAAACTTTCCAAGATGTGACTGTGCATTCCATCAATGCGAGGCTTAAGAGAAACTGCAGCTTGCCCTCCAATTGTGTTAGCTGGGTACTCAGGCTAACTTTGCTGGACTTAAAAAGTGTGCTCTCAGAACAGAACTCTCTTGTATCTAGAGGACTTACTATATTTTATTTTTTTGTCCTTAAGAATAAATCCAGAAACTTGTTCTTAATCAGGATGTGTAGATCTGCCCCATTCTGCTTTTAACAGCTAATTATATTCCATATAAAAATATACTATAATTTTTGCTTTTTTGCCATGCTATGGGGGATCTCAGTTGCCTGACCAGGGGTCAGACCCCCACCTCCTGCAGTGGAAACATGGGATCTTAACCACTGTACTGCCAGGGAAGTCCAGAATGCTATAATTTATTTGATGCTCACTTAAGTTGGGCCCATAAATTCTTGGAACTTTAAGGCGGAAAGTTTAAATCCTTTGAGTGATCCAGCAAGCTGGATTTGTTGTCATGGGCAAGCAGCTTTAGGATAGGCTTCCGTCCTGCCCTGCCCTGCGCCCGTAGACAGGCAGTGCCTGGATTTTGGTAACGTGCCCCAGAGTGCTCACCAGTGGATTTGTTGGAAGTGCTCCTTTTTGAAAGTCACAGAAACAGTTTTCCTGATTTGATTTCTCTCGCAGACCTACGGCTATGAGCACATCCTGACCTTGCATAACCTTGAGAAGGCTGGTCTGCTGAAGCCACAGACAGGGGGCAGAAACAGTTACCCCACTCTCCGGAAAACGTTACGCCTTTGGATGGATGATGTAAATGAGCAAGTAAGATGCTACTCTTCGACTCACTGAGAGCTTCCCGGGTGGCTCAGTGGTAAAGAAACCACCTGCCAATGCAGAAGATAATAGGAGACTTGGGTTCGATCCCTGGGTGCGGAGGATCCCCTGGAGGAGGAAATGGCAACTCACTCCAGTATTCTTGCCTGAAAAATCCCATGGCCAAAGGAGCCTGGTGGGCTACAGCCCACAGGGTCGCAAAGAGTCAGACACCCCCGTACACACTTCATTCAACTCATTTGAGTTCCCGTTAATGGTTTATTGCCACGACATAACGCTACTTGATCTGTTCATCCGCCTTCCTTTCTAAAGACAGTTTTCTAATTTTTTTTTTTTTTAATGTGTGGATCCTAGCAGAAAGCAGTGCTCTTGTACTGAGTAGTTTGATGGAGTTTTATAAAGATGGGCTGGACCAGGGACAGGCAGTGCAGTAGAGAACCACTCACCCCTTCCCATCTGAAGTCTGAGGGCAGGGGATCCAGAACCGGGAGAGCAGAGCTGTGTGGTGACAAGCCAAGGGGCTCAACCAGCCTCTGGCAGCATTACAGAGAGGGAGTCAGGGCAACAAAACGTGACCGCACAGTCCTGTCCTCTCTCCATTTTCCAGCTGGTGTGGAGCCCACAGGGCTGCCTCCTGGTCACAGAGCACCAGGTAGAAGGTGGGGAGGGTCAGGCAAGGATCCAGTACAAAAGGAAAGCAGTTGGTGAGAAACAAGGTTCCTCCCACAGCCAACTTCAGTCTCCACTCAGAATTGATCATTATAACCAGTTTGTTATGCATCTTCCCGGAAAGATTCTGTGTATAGACAAATATTTTTTAAAATATTTATTTATTTATTTGGCTGCTCGGGTCTTAACTGTGGCATGTGGGATCTAGTTCCCTGAACAGAGATTGAACCCGGGCCCTCTGCATTGGGAATACAGAGTCTTAGCCACTGGACCACCAGGCAATCCTGGACAAATATTTTTACATAAATGGTGCATATTCTATACCTTGGGTCTTCAAAGTAGGGTGTACTTTGCTTTATATTTGTTATTCCCATCTTTCTAAATTTCATTTTTTTTTTATATTCTTTTTTTGGCTTTTCTTGGCTTTGCCAAGAGGCACAAAAGCTAACAATTAAACAATCTCTTCTCTCAGTGCTAAAATTGGATTGTTTCTCCCCGGTGGGAATATCAGTTCAGTCACTCAGTCGTGTCTGAACCGCAGCACGCCAGGCCTCCCTGTCCATCACCAACTCCCGGAGTCCACCCAAACCCATGTCCGTTGTGTCAGTGATGCCATAACCATCTCATCCTCTGTCGTCCCCCTCTCCTCCTGCCCTCAATCTTTCCCAGCATCAGGGTCTTTTCAAATGAGTCAGCTGTCCGCATCAGGTGGCCAAAGTATTAGAGTTTTAGCTTCAACATCAGTCCCTCCAATGAACACCCAGGACCCATATCCTTTAGGATGGACTCGTTGGATCTCCTTGCAGTCCAAGGGACTCTAAAGAGTCTTCTCCAACACCACAGTTCAAGAGCATCAATTCTTCGGCACTTAGCTTTCTTTATAGTCCAACTCTCACATCCATACATGATTACTGGAAAAACCATAGCCTTGACTAGACGGACCTTTGTTGACAAAGTAATGTCTCTGCTTTTTAATGTGCTGTCTAGGTTGGTCATAACTTTCCTTCCAAGGAGTAAGTGTCTTTTAATTTCATGGCTGCAATCACCATCCGCAGTGATTTTGGAGCCCAGAAAAATAGTCTGTCACTGTTTCCACTGTTTTCCCATCTATTTGCCATGAAGTGAGGGGACCAGATGCCCTGATCTTAGTTTTCTGAATGTTGAGCTTTAAGCCAACTTTTTCACTCTCCTTTTTCACTTTTCTCAAGAGGCTCTTTAGTTCTTCTTCACTTTCTACCATAAGGGTGGTGTCATCTGCATATCTGGGGTTATTGATATTTCTCCCGGCAATCTTGATTCCACCTTGTGCTTCCTCCAGCCCAGCGTTTCTCATGATGGACCCTGCATATAAGTTAAATAAGCAGGGTGACAATATACAGCCTTGATGTACTCCTTTCCCTATTTGGAACTAGTCTTTTGTTCCATGGCCAGTTCTAACTTGCTTCCTGACCTGTATACAGGTTTCTCAAGAGGCAGGTCCGGTGGTCTGGTATTTCCATCTCTTTCAGAATTTTCCACAGTTTATTGTGATCCACACAGTCAAAGGCTTTGGCATAGTCAATAAAGGAGAAATAGATGTTTTTCTGGAGCTCTCTTGCTTTTTTGATGATCCAGCAGATGTTGGCAATTTGATCTCTGGTTCCTCTGCCTTTTCTAAAACCAGCGTGAACATCTGGAAGTTCATGGTTCACATATTGCTGAAGCCTGGCTTGGAGAATTTTGAGCATTACTTTACTAACGTATGAGATGAGTGCAATGGTGTGGTAGTTTGAACATTTTTTGGCATTACCTTTCTTTGGGATTGCAATGACAGCCATAATTCCTGTATTGTACAATGTTAATCATGTATTAGTTTGGCTCTTCGCTGCCGTGACCAGCCTGTACCTCCCTCACCCATCCGCCTCTTACTGTCTCAGCACTCAGGATCTTACTTCCAAGCAGGGATGGAACCTGTGCTTCCTGCATATATGGAAGTACAGAGTCTTAATCAATGGATCACCAGGGAAGGCCCCTCTTCATTCTTTTATATATGTATTTGACTGCATTAGGTCTTAGTTGCTGCATGTGGGATCTTTTACTATGATTCATGGGTTTAGCTGCACTGCAGCATGTGAGATCTTAGTTCCCCAGCTAGGAAATCAAACCTGCATCTGCTGCATTGGGAGGTAGATTCTTAACCACTGGACCACCAGAGAAGTCCCCCCTCCTTCATTCTTTTAAGTTCTTTTTAATTGCTCCATAGTGGTTTTTCAGTTATATCTTGTTTTATGATTTATTAGAAATTCAAGTCATTTGCAGTCTTTCACTAGTTCATACAGTGTTGCATTAATATGTTTGTGCTTTGGTCTTTTCTCCTCTGGAGTACAAGCCCCTCTGTGGGATAGATGCCTGAAAGCAGAATTGATGGGTCCAAGGGTTCTATTTCTCAGCTAGACAGTGCCACTTTACCTGCCAAGAAGTTTCTTGCTAAACCAAGTAACAACTTTCCATCTTCAGTACCTCGAGATGCTTTGAGTGGCTTTTGAAGGTTTGAATCAAAAGTGAACCTTTGGAGGGAGTAGCATGGAAACATGTACATTACCATATGTTAAATACCTTGCCAGTGGGAATTTGCTGTGTGATGCACGGAGCTCAAATCCAATGCTCTGTGACAAACTAGAGGAGTGGGATGGGGTAGGAGGGAGGCTCAAGAGGGCGGGGATGTATGTATACCTATCCAGGTGGTGCTAGTGGTAAAGAACCCGCCTGCCCATGCAGGAGACTAGGGTTTGATCCCTGGGTCAGGAAGATCCCCTGGAGGAGGAAATGGCAATGCACTCCAGTATTTTTGCCTGGAAAATGCAATGCACAGAGGAGCCTGGCGGGCTCCAGTCCATGGGGTCGCAGAGTCAGACTCGACTGAGCACATGCACACATGGCTGATTCATGTTGATGTATGGCAGAAACACATTATTGTAAAGTAATTATCCTCCAATTAAAAATATATTACAAAAAAGAAGAAGGTGAACCCTTGGCTGCTAAGAACAGAGCCAAGCATGAGTAGACCGGAGAAGAATATTTTGATATTAGAGAAAGATATTTCAATATTGCTGCCAGATATTTCAGCATTGAAACAGACTATTTTGGGGCTTTGTGTTTCTACCTTCAAAGCCAAATCAAATGACTTTGCATTACCCCCAAAGCCGCAGTTAGGTGGCTCCACTTCTCTGTCTCTTGCTGTGCAAGCGCTTTTCTCTTCAATGATTGAACAGAACCCCACGGACATATCGTACGTGTACAGCGGTTACGCCCCACTCAGTGTGCGACTGGCCCAGCTGCTTTCCCGGCCTGGCTGGCGGAGTATTGAGGAAGTTCTGCGCATCCTCCCAGGGCCCCACTTTGAGGAACGGCAGCCGTTGCCCACAGGACTGCAAAAGAAGCGTAAGTCCAGGGCCCATATCTACAGATACTCATGCACTGTTTCTGTGGTTTTCACGTATTAGAGCAATTGCTTTGTAAAAATACATTCGTAAAGGACTTAGGAGTCAGAGTCCAATATGCCGCTTTTGTTAGTTGTGAATTACGTTGTAAGCACTGGAACTCATTACTCCCTCAGGATTAGCAGATTTCAGCCTCTGAGTTGAGGATCTCCGAAGTTAGAGAAAACATTGAGATCAAAATCATGGTTCCTGAGTTTCTTGTGAACCATCTGTACCAAGACATATATGACTTTTCTTAGGAATGATGCAGTCTTTTTAAGAGGTGGGAAGAGAAGCATCAATAATAAATAGTTCTTCTCTGGCAGTCCAGGGGTTAAGACTCTGCTTTCCAATGCTGGGGGTGAGGGTTTGATCCCTGGTCAGGAAACTATGATCTCACATGCTGCACAGCCAAAAATAAATACATAATTTTTTAAAATAATGATACTGATTCTTCATTCTGAAATGTTCAAATTTTAGGTCAGCCAGGAGAAAACCGAGTCACTCTGATCTTTTTCCTCGGGGGTGTAACCTTTGCTGAAATTGCCGCCCTGCGATTTCTCTCCCAGCTGGAAGATGGAGGTACAGAATATGTCATCGCCACCACTAAACTAATCAACGGGGCCAGCTGGATAGAGTCACTAATGGAAAAACCTTTCTAGGGCGTTCCAAGTAGACTTACCAGTGAACTACAGAATAAATTGCTCCTTTGAAGAAGTTACTGCAACAGCAGTGCTGTTCCGTGGAGAAACAGGAATAACAGGAATAACAACAGGAATGCAGAATTTACTTTGGGGTCAGCTTCTTAAATTACGCTGTTTTCTCCTTTCAGTTTCTCTTTTTGTGTTCTTAAATTTCTCAAAGAAGAATGGAAGAGACTCAGCCTGTGTAAAAGAAATCCCAGTTTTTAATGTTCTGAGCCCAGGATCTCCATTAGAGACCTCTGGAAATATATGAAGGGTAGTGGGGATGGGTAATCTGTTCAGCCACATAAATGGGGCCAGTTCTTGAGAACGCAGGGACCAACCAGGTAAAAATGAAAATAAATGTGGAAGTCCAACCCCTGATAAATAGTGCTGAGTTTCTTGGAGGTGCAGCATGCCTAGCGCAGTGGCCAAGTGTTAGGGGCCTGAGGCTGGTTATCTCAAATCCCTGAGTTTGAGATTGTTTCTTCCTGTAGAACATGGCACCTTACATCCAGCGTCACCAGTCTCTGTGTTACCTGGTCGTCAGGGCAAGTTTTGATTCCTCTGCTTCTAAAAAAGCAAAGGTTTAGAAGAGCTTCTTGCCCCAGGACAGAGTTTATGCTCTCTGTGATCAGCTGAATTGTTGTGGGTCCCCGACTTATCAAGGGCTTTTTACACTGAGGAAGACTCAGCATTCTGAGAATGTATTTGAAGATGCGTTCTTAGTGCACATGTTATTAACTCTTAAGAAATTTCAGTGATAGATGCCTTCAGTTTTCTTCCCTGCTCATCGTGAGCCCCACCATCCAGCTGGTGTCCCCTCCCCCCCCCCCACCTTGAGCAGTGACAGCTTTGTTTTCTTCAGCATCTGGCAGCTCCCCCTCCCATGTAAGTGCCACACCTGCTGCCCCAGCAGTCTACAGCCACTCCTTACATGGTCTCGAGTGTTTGTTTTGCTAGGAAACACCCAGCTCCCTGGTCTGGTGATGTCATCCCCCTCCGGTACAGCTTGTTGGTGATCCAGGCATCCAGCTGCTACCATTCCCCGGGGAGACTGCTAGGCTGTGGAAGGGAGGTGAGAAGGTGCTGGCAGCGAAGTTGGAAATCTCCCTCCTGCTCCGTCCCAGCATCTGAAAGAGTTAAGGCCAAGAAGGGGACTAAATTAATGGTTTTACAGCCCTTGCCCAAGTCTCCAGCAAAATTAGTTGACCCCCCCCTCTTTGCTGGGGTCCAAAGTCAGTGTCCCTCCCCAGGTATCATTTCTTTTCTCTTTTAAAAGAAAATATTTATTTGGCTCCACTGGGTCTCAGTTGCAGCACTTGGGATCTTCTTTGCTGCAGCATGTGGGATCTAGTTCCCTGACTAGGGATCAAACCCAGGCCCCCTGAATTGAGAGTGCAGAGTCTTAGCCAGCGGATCACCAGGGAAGTCCCCCGAGGTGTCATTTCTGTTGTTAATTAGTACCTGTACATGTTTTTGTCTCTTTTTTCTCTAGTGAAATTCTGTTAGCACGCGCCATGTTATGAGTGAAGGAAAAATTCTGCGTTAAAAAAAAGAATCTCTTTAATGTGAAAATGAGGGGTAGAAGAGGGAATATTTAAAAGATTAGCTTCTTGTGAATTTAACTTGCCTTTAACATTCAGTATTTGGAAAGGTCTTAAAGAAAGCAATTCCTGTTTTAGGAATCCTTTCTCAACTCCTTGTTAGCCCAGGAAGATTAGTTTATACCTTCCAGCCCCAGTGGCTCTCAGTCTCAGCTGCTGTAGAGAATAAAATGCACCTTGTCCATCAGTGTTTTTGGCTCCTGGGATTCAATTCAAGTCCAGTCAAGTCCCCTTGGCTGGGGTTTTGTTCTGTGAACAGATGCTCAGTTGTGTCTCATGTGTCTGCATTCACTCATGACTCTCCACTCTCTTGCTCTGAGCATAGTTAGGTCAGCTGCTAGAAATGCATTCAGCGTAAGACTTCAAAACCTCAATTGCTTCATTTGTATGCAAATAGAAAGTGGGGGATAATTATATATTATATGCCTTTGTGTAAGTTCACTTAATACTTGAAGCAGTCTTTGTCCCAAAGAAGTGTGCCCTTACTGAGAAAAAGGGTACGTGAATGGTACATTTATTCTTGGAAAGGGTGGATTGTTTACATCACGTCTGGACTTTTTGTCTAGTTGGGTAGACGGTTCTGCAACACCAGCAGTCCTACAAAAAGAAGTCTCCGTAGATAAAGAAGCCTACATAGGCGCTATTTTGTGTCCTTCTGTACACTTTTGAATTGTAGCCAAAAGAGAAATAAGTATTTGAACTGTAGTTTAACTGTGGAGCAAGAGACTAATGGTTACACGAGGTTTAAAACAGTGCACTTTAAACTTTTTCTTGTATATTGGAGTGTAGCTGATTAACAATGTTGTGATAGTTTCAGGTGGACAGCAAAGGGACTCAGCCATACATGTATCCATTCTCCCTGAATCCAGGTAACAGCACATTTAATTCTTGAAGAGAACTGGGAAGGGAGATTTCCATGTGTTGAACCACTGTAGCTGTGTCCTCACAACAGGTGGATTATAATTAATCTGACATGCAGTCTGTCTCTTGTCCTCAGTTGTACTGTTTATATCAGCAGAGCTGAACTCAAAAAAAAAAAAAAAAAAAAAACTTCTTAAAAAAAAAAAAATACCAGAACAAACTGAGTGCCTAAAGCAGCCAGTAAGAGGGGCTGTGATAAAGATGGTAAGGCAGAGAAATACAGACACCGCATAGCCTATGAATGATAAACAGAATGAATTATACTTGAGAACCTTGTATATATTTCAGTCCTGTGGTTTAACAATGACATACTGTAGAAAATAGAGGATGCTTTTTGTCATCCAACAAAGACAGTACTGTAAAATTTCTCAGACTCTCTTACTTCTAAGTGGATGCATGTGAACTTCAAGCTATATAATGTGTCTCAGCTTCAGTTACTCCATTGCGATATTATTTAGTTGCTAGGTCAGGTCTGACTCTTTGTGACCCCATGGACTGTAGCCCACTAAGCTCCTCTGTCCATGGGATTTTCCCAGGCAAGAATACTGAAGTGGGTGGCCATTTCCTTCTCCAGGGGTTCTTCCGGACCCAGAGATCAAACCCGTGTCTTCTGCAGTGGCAAGCAGATTCTATACCACTGAGCCACCTGGGAAGGCCACTCCGTGGTATAAAATACCCCTGATTGGGTGGTGACTAGAGTCTACAAAGGCTGGAACACGGAACTGCCTTCAGATGTCCATGTGAAGCATGTGAGAGTTAAAGGGTAACAGAACCAGGGCTGTTTTAGTAGCCTTTTGCATGTTACTTTGGTGTGGGATTAGAATATAAATCTCAGCCATACTTGCCTGTGACTAGGCAGGACACAGCCCTCCAGATGACCAGGTCTCTGTGGGGAGTAATTACTCACTGGCTTCCTGCACGCAGCTTGATAATGTTCCACTCCTGTTTTCAACCCGGCTGCAGTGGGGCAATGATTTGATAATAAGAGATCCTGATCAAATTAGAGAGCCATTTGGCTTCTGGATGATGATGTTGATAAAAGGGTTGATATCCACACTGCCTTTTTTTTTTTTAAAGGTCAAAACATAGTCTTAACTACAAGCTACTACAAAAAGCAGAGGAACGGGGAGCAGCATAAAGTTTGTGCTTTCTTTTCCCTTCATTGTTACATCTGGGAAAGGGTCTGTTCTTTATTGGCTGGAATCCTGACTGGTTCTTTTTACCTTACATTTGGCAGAGTTGAAATTGGAAGTAGGTACATTGCGAAGGTGTCTATATGATGAGTCTCTAAACGGCAACAGTGAATTAGAATTGAGCACTTGAGAGCTCTTGGTTTTCTGAGCTAGTTCTCACACAAATGCTTGGAATTGCATGTTTTAAGACAAAAATAAAAAAGCTAAAGTTTTTGCTTTAGTTGGGCACTCATAAGTGAATGTTGTATGTACAGTGGTTCTTCTTGTCTGAGACTCAAGGATGGAACTGCTCTTTGTGGAAGTTTGCTAGAAAAGAATCTGGACTGTATCCCACCCACTGTCTAGAAAAGCCAGGCAGGAGGGCCATGAAGTCCCCAGTGTGTGCCACTCGCTCAGCACCTCTAAGGCAGGAGCTTTTGCAGGCAACCTCGGAGCTGTGTGGGCTGTGATGGTGACACAGGCAGAGGGTGGGCAAGCCTGCCAGCGCCCCGCCTGGTCTGGACTTGCCTGTGCGCAGCTCCGTGAGAGCTCGGGGACCACGTGGAGATTGTGATTGGTCTCTAGACCACACCTAGTTGGTGAGCGCAGCTGCTGCCTGAAAGTCCCTCAGCTCTGCCGACATCGCTGGAGCGCACACAAGCCTACCTTCGGACAGCAAACCGGAGAGGGACCGTGGAGCTGCCACAGTGGAGGAGTCGTGGAAACTTTGCTGAGTGAGTGAAATGGGGAGACAGGGAAGTCGGTGGCTGGCACTAAGGGGTGTTGCTGGGTAGGGCAGCAGTGGAGGTGAAGAATTGGTTTGTAATTGTTAACCATCTGATTCCATCCGTGATGGAAGATAGAGGGCTGGAGCGGATGCCAAGAGCGTGATGGGCAAAGAGATAAGCCCAGAGTCAAACTGATACCCACCTCTTGGCACTTCTGCGATCCTGGCTGGCCAGAAGGGCAAGCATGCCTAGCCACAAAGCAGCGGTCCTCAAACTCTTGTAAACTGATAAGCCTTGGGGCCACAGAAATTGCAGAAGGGCTGCAGTGAGTGCCCGCTGCTTTTCCCCTACTCAGAAGGATCTCTTTTTCTCTCCCAAGCAGCGCTGGCAGCTGGGGCTGCAGCTTGAATGATGGCAAAAAGCAAGCTTTACTCCATCAGCCCATTAGCAACACTCAAAACATTAAAAATGCAGGAGGTGGACGGGAAGAGAGGGTTGGAGATGAAGGCCAGTGCAGCAGCGGGAACTGGGAACTCTCCTCTCCAGGCTTC